CCATGAATATCTGTTTCAAAAACTACCAATCTAGACTTAGACACAGATCTGGGAGAGCTGCTTCTTCATAATAGCATTTCTAGTTTTCCTTAGTTAGTTCCCTTATACACTACAGATATGAAAGTGCATATTTGCATGTGAGATAAGTCTTATAGTAGGCAAGGTTCTATCTTTGGAAGGATAGCAACACTATTCAAATTGGACATTTAAATTAGAATTCAGTTCCAACCCAGGATATAAAAATGTTCACTTTTTCCCTTCGGCAAAAGCTTTTTCAAGTTTCTGTGTCCACTGGTCAAAGATGTTTTTCTCTGTTAAATCTCACCAGGATCAATTTTGCTTTGATTTATTTGTCCTGAGACCCATAAATGGATAAATGAAGAAACACAACTAAGATCATTCAAATTAGAGGGAATTCTAAATTACAATGACAGGCCAGTGAATACTAAGTTTGCTCATTCCTAAGTAATCTGACATAAATGCCCAGAGGAAAAATCTGGGAATGGAGAAGGGAGAGCAACTCCAGTGATTTCTTTTGGATGCACTCATTTATAATCTGAAACAGATTTTGTATGCTAGCTATAACTTGGTTTTAATATTTTTATTTTGAGCATATACAAGGACTGCCTTTTTATATTCATTTTAAATTTAATTATTTGGATTAGAAATGTAATTTTTTTAAGATTTATTTATTTATGCATACAAGAACTGGGGTATGGGGTGGGGGAGAGGATTCACCAGAGTCAGAGTGGGGAACAGAACAGGCAGATCCACTGAAATACACTGCTGAAGGAAGCAGTGAGTGAGACAGGAGAGGTCTGCTGCACCATGTGGGTCACCAATCTGGCCAGGGATTGAACTTGTGCTGCAGAGGCTGTTGATAGCTTCATAGTGCTGTGTCTTAACAGCACTTGTGCCACTGGGGAGGCCCCAGAAACGTAATTCTAAATATAAAAATTGGGTCTCTCCAGTGGCGCAGCGGGTTGAGCGCAGCTCTGTGAAGCTGTCTGTCTGCAGCCTCTGCAGCACAGTTCGATCCCGGCTGGCCAGCAAGAATCCCACATGGTGCAGCAGACCTCTCCTGTCTCGCCCACTTCTCCCCTCAGCAGTGCCTTTCAACTGTCTGCCTATTCTGCTCCCTGCTCTGTCTCTGGTGAATCCTCTCACTCTCCCACGCCTCTGGCCTGTACCTAATTCTTGTATAAAAATAAATAAATCTTTAAAATTATATATATATATATATTACAATATTTGTATTAACTATAATGTTTTAAAGAAAAAAACAAATAAATCCTTTTTATGGTAGTTTGATATAAAGTAACAAAAATAATTTTAATGTTTTTGATCCACATACCTAGAAGGTATCTTTCTTTATAATGATAATTCTTTAAAATGGTACATTTTAAAGTTCATTAGCACTTAATAAAATATGAGATCAGATCTTCTGTTTTTACTCTATGACATGAGATAAATGTTTAAAATTCTGAACAGATCATTGAACAGAATAAGCAGTACCTAGTATTACCATACCACCAAAATCTCCTCTAATATAGATATTAGATTAAATTCATCATAGATTCATCATAGAATATACTGTCTTTTCCTGTTTTGCCAGTTTTGGAAGGAGAAACTACTCAACTTCAATTAAGAATTAAGTTGTAGGGGCCTCCCCGGTGGCGCAGAGGTTGAGCGCTGGGTTGCGAAGCTGCCTGCAGCCTCTGCAGCGCCTGTTCGATCCCCAGCTGCTCCCCGGCCACCGGAGGAGGGTCCCACATGGCGCGAAGACCTCTCCTGCCGCCCGCTGCTCCCCTCAGCAGTGTACTTCGGTCCTTCTGCTTGCTCTGCTCCCCGCTCTGGCTCTGATGAATTCTCTTACCCTCCCGCGCTTCTGACTGTACCCAGTGCTTGTATAAACAAACAAATAAATAAATAAAATAAATCTTTTTTTAAAAAAAAGAATTAAGTTGTAAAAACAAACTAAGAAAAGTTTTAAAACATTAAGGCTGCAAGTTTCAATGAGCTACACTGCAAAAGTTCATATTCTTTTAAAAACCACAGAACAATTTGCATCCGAAGCGATTCCATTTTCTTATGTTGGTAGGTTAATTTTCTTAGACTCCCTACAAACTTTTATATATACAGGTATTTCACTTACCTAGACAAGCTTTTAACTCGACATTTTCTCTAATACTTAGAGATACAGTGACCTGTGAAAGGAAAGAAAATACAAAAGGGATAAATTATTTTCATTTCAAAAGGATGTTTTATCTTACTAAATCCTTCATTCTATCGATATTTAAAATAGTCGCATTATTAGTATTTTTAAAATAGGGACCCCGGGCCTCCCCGGTGGCGCAGCAGTTGAGCGCTGGGTTGCGAAGCTGCCCGCAGCCTCTGCAGCGCCAGTTCGATCCCCGGCTGCTGCCCGGCCACCAGAGGAGGGTCCCACATGGCGCGCAGACCTCTCCTGCCGCCCCCTGCTGCCCTCAGCAGTGTGCTTTTGTCCCTCTGCCTGCTCTGCTCCCCGCTCTGGCTCTGGTGAATTCTCTCACCCTCCCTCACTTCTGACTGTACCCAGTGCTTGTATAAAATAATAAATAAACAAACAAACAAACAAACAAACAAATAAATAAATAAATCTTAAAAAAAATAAATAAATAAAAATAAAATAGGGATCAGTTTATATGGAATGTTTCAGGAAGTCTATAGAAATGAAAAAAACTTTTACAGAAAATAGTACTGTTTTTGTATTTCCACCTTAAGATTGATAAGCATTTTTATTTATTTTATTTTTTTTTATTATTTTTTTTATAGAGGCATGTTTTCTTTGTTTGTTTGTTTGGTTGGTTTATACATGCACTGGGCACAGTCAGAAGCGCGGGAGGGTGAGAGAATTCACCAGAGACAGAGCAGGGAGCAGAGCTGGCAGAAGGACCAAAGTACACTGCTGAGGGGAGCAGCGGGCGGCAGGAGAGGTCTGCGCCATGTGGGACACTCCTCTGGTGGCCGGGAAGCAGCCGGGGATCGAACCGGCGCCGCAGAGGCCGCGGGCAGCTTCGCAACCCAGCACTCAACCGCTGCGCCACCGGGGAGGCCCCTGGTAAGCAATTTTAAAGTATCTTACTCTTCTCCTTTATACTTTAAATGCTTTGAAATGCAGCACACCTTAAAAAAAAAAGATTGTAATGCTTTATACAATGAAATTTTGAGATTAGTTTACTCCTTGGAAGAATATTTCCCTTTGTGTGTTGCACTTACCTCACTTGTTTTGGTCTCAGAGATGAAGTATAATTAATACTAATGGCATTTAAACAACACTGTCAAAACTCATAAAGTTTCTCTTCTTTGCATCCACCTCCCTTTTCTTAAATAAGTTTTAAAAAAGAAAATGTCTCCATGTTTTATCTTTTGATTTGCCTTTTATCTTTCATTTCAGTTTTATCATGAATAATTTGTGACTGCCTTTACTTCCTTTCTTCATATTACTTTAGCTTATGCTAGATATTTCCATGTTCTTACTTTTTGAAGTTTCCTCTTACCTGGTTTTTATCTGAAAGATTTAATACTGTTTTTAAAAATTACATCCAGCCCCAAAGCATAGACGTTATAAATTTGCTAAGTGCTTGCCACAAATTCCAATTAAACTTGAGGCAACTTGATGTCTTAATCTACTTCTGACACTATGAGTTTGGAATAAGATGATAAATGTGGACAATGATGATAATTTGATTAAATCTTTGGTCTCCACTCCTTTCCTATTAAAACAAGAGAATCACCACCATCCCAACTTCTCACGCCCAAGTAATTGCAGCAGGCTTTTTATTTCCATATCCTGGGGTCATTTCTGGGAAAGACAAACGTACAGGGCCTCCCCAATGGCGCAGCGGGTTGAGAGCAGTGCTGTGAGGCTGGCCGCAGCCTATACAGAGCCGGTTCGATTGCAGGCTGGCCAGGGAGATACCCACATGGCGCGGCGGACCTCTCCTGACTCTCCTGCTGCTCCCCTCAGCTGTGCTTTCAGTCTGTCTGCCTGCCTATTCTGCTCACCACTCTGCCACTGGTGAATCCTCTTACCATCCCACACCTCTGGCCTGTTCCCCAGTTCTTGTATAAATGAAAACATAATCTTTAAAAAGAAGACAAATGTAGAAACACAAAAAAGGGGTTCCCCTCCCCGCTAACCTATAGGACATGAACCAAGACACATTTTACTTCCACCCACCCACCTCCGTCAAGAATCCGTGAAGTGCATTATGGTAAAATAGGGACCTTCTCAAGGGCTAGTGGGGTATGGAGAATGCCAGGGCCATGTATGTGTGCCCCGGGCCACATTCTTTCACAGCTCTACCAGGTAGGGAAGACTGAGCTCATGGAAGGTGTTAACTAGTTGAATTCTCTCAGCCGGTAAATAACACACTGTGGTCCAAACCCAGCCCTGGCTCTAGTTGCGCTTTCAGTGAAAAACTGCTGTATGGCAGCTTTTTATTTTTATGTTTTAAGATTTATTTATGCATACAAGAGCTGGGGTACCAGCCAGGGGTGTTGGGGTGGTGGTGACAGGATTCACCAGCGACAGAGAGGGAAACAGAACAGGCAGACTAACTGAAACACACTGCTGAGGGGAGCAGCGGGCGAGACAGGAGAGGTCTGCTGCGCCATGTGGGTATCTCCCTGGCCGGTCGGGGATCGGACTCGTGCTGCAGAGGCTGCGAACTGCTTCCCAGGGAGTCCCATGGCGGCTTTTTAAACGTTAAAACAGGCACCGGGGGACTCATGGAAAAGGAATTAATACAAAAGGTCCCATACTTCGGATAAAGTGCAGACACATCAAGGGAACCCTGCTGCCACGCTGCCGAGGCCACCGGGGGTGGGAGGAGGCCAAGGGCTTCCAAGTCTCCAGCCGGCGCGCAGCCTCCCTCATTGGCGCTCCTCCAGGTGGCGTCAAATCGTAGGCGTCCAGGGGAGGCGGGACTTCCGGGCTGGGCGAGCCACTTCCGGTCGCGCCGGAAATAGCGACTGAGGGATTGCATAAGAGATGCGCGCCGCCTGAACCTTTCGGCGAATCTTGCGTTCCGCCGACTCGGAAGACAAACTGGGCGGAGATTTCTCCGCGAGCTGCCAAGTTTTCGGGGGTAGTGGAAAACAAGAGTGGGGACATGGACAGTCGCCTGCAGGAGATCCGGGAGCGGCAGAAGCTACGGCGACAGCTCCTCGCGCAGCAGGTCCGCGGCCCAGGGAGGGATGACGAGTGCGCGTGCGCGGCCGGCCTCCTCTCCCCTGCCCTGCGCTGTCCCCTCCCCACCCGCCGCGGCCCCTGGGCTCGCTCGCCCTTCTTGTGCTCGGCGCCCGCGCCGCCCCGAATATTTCCCACTTTGTGGCGGGATCATGGTAGTTGTGCTAAACCAAACGCCAGGATGGGTATAAAGCCGCCTTGATGGGCTGCCCGCCCAGTGCCTGGCACAGGCTCCATGATGGGGTCCAAAGCTTTGGTCTTGGTAAAAGCCACCCCCGCCCTTTTGCCAGGAGAAGTACCTGTTTCATTCCTAGATTTTCTTCACTACTGAAATGGTTCTCTGTGTCTTGCCTCCTCTTGCAGTTAGCATCTAATTCTTGAGGTGGCTTCATTATGAAGGAGCTGCACTGTCTTTTGGGATCGTACTAAACATCATGTCATCGCAATGGAAATTTGGGGTTCCAGTTCTTGTGTGCTGCAGTCTACTGTCCGGTGGATGATAGAATCGTCGTCATACTTACTTAAGAAATAAGTAGGAGTATCTTAACATAATGAATAAAGAACAGGCAAGGGGTTAGGACACAACATAGGAAGCTGGACAGCCTTTGTAGCACGAGTTCTATCACTGGTCAGGGAGCTACCCACATGGTGCAGCAGACCTCGCCTGTCTCGCCCGCTGCTCCCCTCAGCAGTGTGCTTCAGCCAGTCTGCCTGTTCTGTTCCCCACTCCGTCTCTGGTAAATCCTCTCACCCCACACATCTCTGGCCTGTACCCCAGTTATTGTACATAAATAAATAAATATTAAAAAAAAAAAAAACAGGCTTCAGAGGTTAAGAACTGCCACAGACCATTCACTGCTAAAATTCGACCATAGTAGCTACAAACTCACAATTTATGCCTTTTTATTTAACTTGAACGTTTATTTCAAAAATCCTGTTTGCTTTCAGATGATACCAAATTGTCATAATTGTTGATATGGTATATTTAGTGCTACTGTAATAGAAAATCTAATGTTGACCTAATGCAGTTATTTCACAATTGTTTGAGAATGTTGGAACTTGAGAAGACAATTACATATGTAAGCAAAATCTTAATTTAAAGCACTTGTCTTGTAATATACTGTTTGCCAGTTTAGGCCCCAGGAGAAAATTCATTGGGTCATTCACATATTTGTTGAGCATCTGCTATGAGACAGACATTATTCTAACAAGGGACCATAGCTGTCAACAGGACAGAGTTCTCCTAAGGTGACTTACATTTCAGTGGGGAGAAGTAAGCAAAAGTGAGTTAATTAAAGTACACAAATAAAATAAGTGGAAGTTATGATAGAGGCTAGGAATCAATGTAAATTGGGAATGCACAATAGTAAAATCATTGACAGTTGTATTAAGTAATTTGATTTGAATATGGAAATGACCTTAAAAGGAGAATAATGGGAAGAGACTCCTTTTTCTAGATACAATGTTTGTAGAAGAGCCTGCTTTCAGGAAATAACTTGGACCCAGCTGAGATAAGAATAGGGAGGAGTCAGTGATGGGAAGAAGCTTAGAAAGCATTGAGCTGTGCCAAGTGTCTGTGTGTTTGACTAAAGGGAACAGAAGTCAGGGCAATTTATGGTCAGGAGCAGTTGATAGATTGGAAGAGACTTATCACTGGAGAAGACTTAGGGGAGTTGTGAGTGGGGAGACTAAAAGGACAGGGGTGATTAAAATCCAGCCTGGGGACTTGGCAGCTCTGATATTTTAGTGTGCCTTCTCCCCTCTCAACTGAGCTAAAATGATGACTTAATGCATCTTTCTTCATGTCCTTCCTGTGCTTAAAAGTACTAAATGGCTGCTCTTGGCCTATAAATCGCATTCTGCATTTCTTGGTCTGGCTTTGAAAGTTTTCCATGAACTAACCAATTGCACTTTTCTTAGTCAACCTTATCTCAACTGCTGATGTGTTTACATCTGTTCTATTTTGCAAACTTTCCCCAGTTGCCCACCAAAATTTGCATTGCCGTTTTTAAGGTATTTGCAAAATGTTCAGTGTTGTGCCTATAGTCTTTTTGTAAAGACTTGGCTCAACAAATATAATCTTAAGGGCCTACCCTGGTGGCACAGGTGGTTGAGTGCCGCACTGCGAAGCTGTCTGCAGCCTCTGCAGTGCTGGTTTGATCCTGGCCAACCGGTGAGGGTCCCACATGGCGCAGCAGACCTCTTTTGTCTCGCCTGCTGCTCCCCTCAGCAGTGTATTTCATCAGTCTGCCTGTTCTGTTCCCCACTCTGTCTCTGGTGAATCCTCTCACCCTCCCATGCGTCTGGTCTGTGCCCCAGCGCTTACATAAATAAATAAATAAATAAATCTTTAAAAAAAAAAAAAACTTAAAAAAAATGACAGCAGTGAATAAGTAAGGTATATGTGACCTAATGGTTGCAAAGTGTTTAGTGTAGTATCTACCGCATTGTAAACACTATATGTTAGCTGCTTTTTTTTTATTGCTACTACTTCTGAATTGTGTTTTATTATTTACTTTAAAAGTTGGAGATTGGCTTAAGTGTCTTAACTTTAAATATAACTCAAAGTGTAAAATGCTTTTCAGCTGTCAAAATCTTTTTTTTTTTTAAAGATTTATTTATTTATACATACAAGAACTGGGGTACAGGCCAGAGTTGTGGGGGTTGGGGGATTTACCAGAGACAGAGTGCAGAACAGAACAGGCAAATTGACTGAAATACACTGCTGAGGGGAGCAGCGGGCAAGTCAGGAGAGGTCTGCTGCGCCATGTGGGTAGCTCCCTGCCCGGGGATCGAATTTGTGCTACATTGGCTGCAGATAGCTTCATAGGTTGTGTCTTAACCCCTTGCACCACCAGGGAGACCCCAAAATATTTCTTTTTTTTTTTTTTTTTTTTTTTTTTTTATAGAGGCATGTTTATTTATTTATTTATTTGTTTGTTTGTTCTGTTTACACATGCACTGGGTACAGTCAGAAGCGCGGGAGGGTGAGAGAATTCACCAGAGCCAGAACAGGGAGCAGAGCAGGCAGAAGAACCGAAGTACACTGCTGAGGGGAGCAGCGGGCGGCAGGAGAGGTCTGCGCGCCATGTGGGACCCTCCTCCGGTGGCCGGGGAGCAGCCGGGGATCGAACCGGCACTGCAGAGGCTGAGGGCAGCTTCGCAACCCAGCGCTCAACCGCTGCGCCACCGGGGAGGCCCCCAAAATATTTCTTAATTAACTTGGTTTTATTCTCGGTATTACCATAGTGTCCTGCAAGCTGATTAATCCATCTGTTCACTGAGGTACTTACAGATTTTTTTTTAGTACTTGACATATTAAATGCTACTACAAATGACTGGAAAGTCTCTTCAATACTTTGTGATTTAATTTCTCCTTTTGTCTTTTCTCAGTTGGGAGCCGAAAATGCCGACAGCATTGGTGCTGTGTTAAATAGCAAAGATGAGCAGAGAGAAATTGCTGAAACAAGAGAAACGTGCAGGTCAGTTGAATTTTTTTTTCTTTTGATGACATGTCAATATTGTAAAAGAATCATTGTTTTAATAAATAATCTTAGGTATGAAGTGGCGTTGTTATGAAAAGCATCAAAATGAGAATTTCAGAAACACTCAATTTCATTTTTCATGAGTTACAATTTTTTTCTAGGTGCAGTTATTTCTCATTGATAAAATAGTTAGAAAACAGAATGTTAGAGGATGATTTACAATTCCATTTTAAAAATTCTTAGAGGGCCTTCCTGGTAGTGCAAGGGGTTAAGCACCGCACTATGAAGCAATGCAAAGCCTCTGCAGCACGAGTTCGATCTCCGGCTGGCCAGGGAGCTACCCACATGGCGCAGCAGACCTTTCCTGCCTTGCCCACTGCTCCCCTCAGCAGTGTATTTCAGTAGATCTGCCTGTTCTGTTCCCCACTCTGTCTCTGTTGGATCCTCTCACTCCCTGCATCTCTGGCCTGTACCAGAGCTCTTGTATGCATAAATAAATAAATCTTTAAAAAAAAATTCTTAGAAAATACTTACCCTAAAACTGCTCATTATTTAATCGTTCATAAAACATTTCAGATTTTTTTCAGTGTCCTAATTAATATGAACATCATCATTGTTCAAGACATATTAGAACAATACATAATCTAGAAGTTTCTTTTTGTCATATATCCCTGATAACAGCTTGTTTTCTCATTTGGTTACTTTCTCATAAAAATCAAATGTAGAATCATTAATTATATCGTATGACCTTTTTTTTTTTTGATGGTTTATAATAAGCTGGGTAAATAGATACTGTTAAGTCAGGAAAAGTTCTGTTTTTAGAACCAGTTATTTGATATTACTGCTAGATGTATTTGTACATCTTGCATATATTTGTGCATGATCCTATAGTTTTAATTTTTAGGGCTTCTTATGATACCTCTGCTCCAAATTCAAAACGGAAGTATCAAGATGAAGGAGAGACAGATGAAGACAAAATGGAAGAATATAAGGCAAGTAGAGAATGGGGCAATTTTATGGTCAAGACAAAAGAAAAAGAATTTGATGGACAGCTGAATTTTGAAGTATTTAAAGTAATTGTATGTGTATACTCAATTAAATTAAGATAATTCTATCCATTTCCTCATTTTAATCAAGAATTTTGTGAGATAAATTAGGTGATATGTACAAAGTTGTTAGCATAATGGCTGGTAAACACAAGGTAGTAACATTCTTCAATAAGGGTAAAGAAGTAAGTACATCAGAAATTTTGGGTAATTGGATCAGATTTTGAGAGATTATGACACCATATTTTTGACTTGTGTTATTCCATGTTAACAATATAAGGTGGTATAATTAAATTATCTTGAAAACTCATGTGTTATAGACAGCAATGTAGAATCATTTTTGAAAGAAGCCCAAGAAAAAGCCAACTTCTAAACTGGTCATTGCAATACTTTGTTGAAAAGAATATATTGTGGACAAAACCCGAATACTATCTCCATTTCTTCATGGTACTGGTTGTACAACTCTACTTAATAGAAAATGCTTTGTTTCAGTAAATCTCTAGGAAGTTTGATGATATAATTGTCTAATCTCATGAATATTATCTTGCATTCTGACTTGTGCTAAGATGTAACTTAAATATTTGTCATTATTTCAGACCGTATCCAATTTCTGATACACTTTTGACCTAGTAAAGCAGTAGTTTCATGTGATTATAAAAGCATAGTTTCATATGATTCATTCTGTTAGAATTAAAATTGCCACATTGGTGAGCTTATCTTTTGATTGAAAGTAAATTCAAATATTTATAGTAACAGTTGATATTAAAAATGCTAGGCAATTTGGTTAGCAAAATCAACCATTATTTATTTTTGATGAGAATGAAAAGGAAATTTTTATTTTGTTGTAAAAATAATCAAGTAGTAAGATCAAATGATGGGAAAGCAAAGACTTCAAGATTTGACTTCAATGGTAATTTGAAAATGCTGTCCTTCCTTGGGAAATAAAATATATTTTGCCTAAATAATCACGCTAGCATGAAATATTCCTCCTATGCATAATATATTTACTTCATCTTCCTTTTTCAAGGATGAACTTGAAATGCAACAGGAGGAAGAGAATTTGCCATATGAAGAAGAAATTTATAAAGATTCTAGTACTTTTCTTAAGGTAAATAATTTTCAAATCTTGAAACTTCACATTTCATCTCTGCCTGAAAAGATTTTAAATATGTTTTCAAGATATTTTCAGTTATTGAGTGATCACTATAATGAAATAAAGAATGTTATTTTAAAATAAAGTTATTTGTGAGCTATTCTTGTGATACTTGACTTTTGAGATCATGTTTTATTAACATCTGTGGCTACCGAAGAATACTACTATCATTTTAGTTAGGTTTTCAAATATTAGTAATTTTTTAATCTGTGAATCAACTTATGTTTTATATGGCCCTGTAACAAAAAACAAAGAGTTAATGTATCTGCCATCAGCGTGCACAACGTTAATTTAATTTTGGCTTTTTCTTTAGGGAACGCAGAGTTTAAATCCCCATAATGATTACTGCCAACATTTTGTAGATACTGGACATAGACCTCAAAATTTCATCAGGGATGTAGGTATGTCAGATTTGTTGGGAATATGCCACTGCTAACTCTTGGTAATATGCATTTTCTGGGTTAACTTTCTTACAAAATTTTTCCCCTGGCTTGGCTTCCCCATTCTGTCCTCAGTGCTTCTACTCTTCCCTCCTTTACCTTCCTTTTTTTTTTTTTCTTCCTTCTCCAGCGTGGTTCTAAACTCATTATTTTGCTTTCATTTATTCCTTCTTTGAGGCTTAACACAGAAAAATTTGTCCTAGAGATGGGTTGTATGGCACAGTACCTATAATCAGATCGTGTAGAAATAGATCACTGTTTCTGATAAATAATTTTCCTTGTCTTTAAAGAACTAATATTTCTTGCAAGGCAGTTCTACTGGCAAAAAATTCCCTCAAGTTTTGTGTGTCTAAAAAATCTATTTCTTTTTCAATTTTGGAAGATAATTTCAAAGTACAGAATTCTAAGTCACTTTTCTGTCAATGCTTTAAACATTCCACTTTACTCTTGTGTGCCTGTTTCCGAAAAGAAATGAGTATCTTTATTCTCCTAAATACAGTGTTCTTTTCCTCTGGTTTCTTTATAGATTTTTTTTTTTAAAATATTTGATTTTCTGTAGTTTGAAAATGATTTGCGTAGGTATAGTTTCTTTGGCATTTTTCCTGCTAATGTTCTCTGAGCTTTGTGTGCTTTGATGTGTGACATAAATTTGGGGAAATTCTCAGTCCTCATTGTTCTAAATATTTCATCTCGCCCTTTCCCTTTGTTTTTCACCTTCTGGTATTCCCATTATGTGTGTGTTACACTGTAGTTGGATGTTCTGAGTTTTTAGATATTCTGACTCTTGAGTTTTTGTTCTCTTTGCTTCTCAGCTTTGAAGGTTATTATTGAGATATCCTCAAGCTCAGAGATTATTTCCTTAATGGTGTTCAGTCTACTGATAAGCCTGTTACCCTACATTTTTAAAAAGTCGTAAGATAGGGCCTCCCCAGTGGCGCAGCGGTAGAGCGCTGGGTTGCGAAGCTGCCCGCGGCCTCTGCGGCGCTGGTCCAATCCCCAGCTGCTCCCCGGCCACCGGAGGAGGGTCCCACATGGCGTGTAGACCTCTCCTGCCTCCTGCTGCTCCCCTCAGCAGTGTACTTCGGTCCTTCTGCCTGCTCTGCTCCCTGCTCTGGCTCTGGTGAATTCTCTCACCCTCCTGCGCTTCTGACTGTACCCAGTGCATGTATAAACAAAACAAATAAATAAATAAATAAAAACATGCCTCTATTAAAAAAAAAAAAAAAGTCGTAAGATAATTCATGTACCTTCTGGTTCACCCATTGAAAGACTGTAGCTCCAGCTTTTCTTTGTATGCACAAGTTAATGCAACTGCGACCACAATCTGATTTTGGAACATTTTCACCTCCTCTAAATAAACTGTGTCTATTGGTAATCAGTTACCATACCTGCCCCTCATCCGATACCTTAATTTAGGCATCTACATGGGTAAGAGTGTATTAACTGCAGAACACAGGCTTGACATTTGCCCTTCAGCTACCTGTCTGCCCCAGCCTTCAGTAACCACTAATTGACTTCCTGTCTCTATTGATTTCCTTATTATAGAATTGCATGTAAGTAGAATCATAACGTGGTATTTCAGCACTAGCTTCTTTCTCTTAGCATAATGTTTTAAAGGATCCTTGATGCTATAGCATGTATTGTCCCCTCCTTCACCTAATCATAAGGAAGAAAGGAAATAATCATTTTTTTCCACTTTGTATAATTATCCAAGAAACTAAGTAATTATCACAGCATTATCACAAGATTCTTTAAGAGAAGTGATGTTATTTATAACTAAAAGAAAGGGAAGAAACTCAGTCGTTGCTAATTTTCCTGAGACTAGAAAGGTTAGATTTGATGCTACTAATAGTTATTTATTTACTAGAATAAATGAAAAATGTATAATTTATTGACTTGAACCACCATTTAAAACCTCTGAATTTTTGCTAGCATATGTGGTTAGGGTCATGAAATAGGAAATGTGTATGTGAAATGTTTAAAAATACTCCAAGATTGCCTTTTTGAAAAGGTATGATAATAAAGTAGTGTGTAGGAGCTCATACCTTTTGAGTTCACTGACAATAACTTCAGTTGTACTAAAATTTGGAATTTGCTTATTTTCCCCTTCAGGTTTGGCAGACAGATTTGAAGAATACCCTAAACTGAGGGAACTCATCAGGCTAAAGGATGAGTTAATAGCTAAATCTAACACTCCTCCTATGTAAGTGATTTTTTTGCAATGACTTTTGTTCCCAACTGAGGTTTAAAATACTCTTTATTCTGTAATCTTTCTGTTAAAAAAGTATTTGCACTTGTAAAGGTTAACACGCTATTTTTTCTTTAAAATAAATTAATGTGAAGCTCTAATGGCAGGTATACCAGGTTATGTAATCGTTTTCACTTTTCTCGTTTGCTTCAAGTTTCTTTATATTTATATTTTTTTAGAAAATATAGATAAAAAGATGATGGAAACTTTTTCTATCATTATAAAAGACGCCATCTTCATTTTCATTAAAAGAGATGTACTAAAAACGTGACTGTATTTTGAAGTGACCAAAAAAAGACTTAAATGAAGAAGAAGAAAATAAAAATTAAGTTTGACTCAGCATCTACAGATACTTTTCTGAACATTTTAGAATACTGTAGATAATTCATTTTAACTTTTGCTAAATGGACTAATTTTCTTCAAAAATGTATATAAGGTCTTTGATATTAGAGGATGTTTATTTCACATTTAGCTTACTTTGAACATTGTAGACATTTGACAATTTGCTAAAATGTATCCTGTTAATGATTAGAAGAACCACAAAGAAGTCTGTGTATGTGGGGAAAAATATTAGCAGACGCTAATATTTATCCTATTTAAAAATACCCTTACATCTAAAATGCATTCATGCTATGTGGACATAACCTCATAGTTAAAACTAGTGGTAATTTGTATTAGATAGCCGGAAAGAAATGCTAATATGAACGATTTTACTAATGAACAAACTAATAAATGAAAATTACATCCATCTTTAGAAACTTTTTAAGAGAGAGACATTTAAAACTTACAAATAGCTTTTTGAAATTAAACAATTGAGGAAAAAAAGTAACGTATTTCTTAGATAACTAGTTGATAACAGGTGGGGACTCACAGACTCACATTTGAGTATGGATATGTAATATAAAAGTGAGAAGTTTATATTCTGAATGTCTTTGGGGGGCAGTGACTTTACTTTGTAGTTCTATCCATGTCCTAGGTAAGAGCAATGGTAGATGGTTTACTGTCTGTACTGAAGAATGATTCCATCCATAAAAAGGTATTCAGTAATCAGCTCGAGATTACTTCATACATAGCATTTAGTGACATTTTAGAAATTTCTTTCATCACTATCTTTAAGGTATTTGAAAATATCCTACTTGCTTTCTGTGCTTCAATCAAACAGGTACTTACAAGCAGATATAGAAGCCTTTGACATCAGAGAACTAACACCCAAGTTTGATGTGATTCTTCTGGAACCCCCATTAGAAGAGTATTACAGAGAGACTGGCATCACTGCTAATGAAAAATGCTGGACTTGGGATGATGTATGATGAAACTTTTCTACTTTGTCATGAGTTACTTATTTTTGAAATGATTTTATATTTACTTGACAAAGTAAGGTTTTGGATATCATCCGTATTTTTTTTTAGGATCATAAATATAGATTTATAGCATGTTTTGTGACTGAAAGTATAAGGTATATTAATAAATATTACAGTATATTTATATATTTTCTAGTATATTTCCCAATGAAAATAAGTACATTTAAAGAATACATCTACTTGAAAATCCTGATAAATCTCAGTGGTTGTTCTTTTAGGATGAATGCGAAATAACAACTTGTTTTGCAATATTGTTTGGTTTCTTACAGATCATGAAGTTAGAAATTGATGAGATTGCAGCTCCTCGATCTTTTATTTTTCTTTGGTGTGGTTCTGGGGAGGGACTGGACCTTGGAAGAGTGGTAAGGTGGTGTTTTATTAAAAGTGGATGTTTAAATTTATTTTTAAAGATTTATTTATTTATTTATACGAACACTGGGTACAGTCAGAAGCCCAGGAGAGTGAGAGAATTCACCAGAGCCACAGTGGGGAACAGAACAGGCAGACTGATGAAATACACTCCTGAGGGGAACAGAGGGCGCGGCAGAAGAGGTCTGTTGCGCCATGTGGGACCCTCGCTGGCGGCCGGGGATCGAACCGGCACTGCAGAGGCTACGGGCAGCTTCACAGCCCAGCGGTCAACCACTGCGCCACCGGGGAGGCCAAATTTATTTTTAAAAACTATAATACGTTGCATAAGGAATTGAAGATTAATGTTATTTTTGTTCTTCATTTCTAGAATACTAAAATATTCAGAGGAAAAGAAAGTTCAGGAGATCATCCCTCATAGTTAACTAGTACTAGGCATGAATAAATCAAAATAATAGTTTATTGGAAGGAACTACAGGAAGAAGAGCAGTTTAGAGATTTGAAACTACATTACAGTTCAGAAACACTTCTTTGTGCCATTTACTGCTCTTTATGGGTAACTAAAACATATTCTTCTGAACTGCATTAATTGCTGAGTTCCAAGTGGAAACCAAATGAAGTTGGAAAAATAACCCAGCATCTAGAACACATTGAATGACTGAAAGTGTAAAAGGCATTACAACACCTCAGTTTATTTGAGGTACTTTACTTTAGTTCAGAACTCTTTTTTACTAGAGTATTTTGGATTTCTAAGTGTTAACAAAATCACACATGCCTTTTATCCATTAGGTGTGTGGGTATCAGTAGTATTCAGTTTGGGGCTCATTTCTGCTGTCCAAATGCAGTAAAGAAAGTTTTCCTCAATAAAGATACATGTAACAGTCTTCAATGTTTGAATTTTTTGAGGTTTTTAGTATTAAATACATAACAATAACAATTTTTTTTTTTTTTTAGTTATTAGAGTGTTTTCAGTAATTTTCAGCCTTGTCCCTAGCTTGATAGTTGAAGTGGCAGGAATCAAATTATCTTGTGGAGCTATTTTATAATTAAAGAGGGTCTGAGTGTTTTCTTCTCATTTTAAAATCTACTTTGTATTGAAGGCAATAAAAGGTATTATTTCAGTATTATTGTGAGTATTACATAACACTGTGTAGTAATATCAACCACTTATTAACATCCAACACACACACACATTTGTCCTGTATCATGGCTAGATATTTAAAGGCTAGTATTTCTTTTTTTTCTATTTCTACACTAAAAATTACTGAAAGATACTCGAATTTGTTGTCTCAGACCTCTAGGAAGTTTTTTGATGCTGGTTGGTTATTATAAGCATCATTTTATTTCTTTTAGCTAAGGATCTCTTTTTTTTTAATTCTTTCTAGTGTTTACGCAAGTGGGGTTACAGAAGATGTGAAGATATTTGTTGGATAAAAACCAATAAAAACAATCCTGGAAAGACTAAGACTTTAGATCCAAAAGCTGTCTTCCAGAGAACAAAGGTATTGCCTTTACTATTTTGTTTTGTTTTCTTTTCTCTCAAGGTTTTCCAAATCACAGTATATTGTTTTAATTGGTTTTGGTGGAAATGCTCTTTTCCTGGACTTGTAAAAATGGCAATGAGTATGTTTACATAAAAAATCATTTTAGAGTGCTTTATTCACAGGGTTAGGCAGCCCCCACGATGCTGTAAAAGGAAATATATATGCCTGTGTGTCCTAAACTGCTATAGTTCAAATACAGGCTCTCAATACCCTTGCTCCCCCAGAATTTTTCCTTTCGCTAGATCCAGAAAAAAAAAGTTGAGGGCAAAACTTGTAGCTGCTTAACTTAGAGGCATTTCTTTTCTTTTGTTCTATTTGCTATGTTAGAATCTATACTAAGAACCCCTGAGAACCTCTACTATTCTGCTGTCCAGCAAGTCTCAGATTGAAACAGTGTGTCCTCAGTCTTTCACTCTTTAGAATTAAAGAGTGTGAGGTTCTTTTGGGGAATGGAAAATTCTTTTGAAGGGAAAGTATGCCATCCTTGCCGTTATTGGTTCGTGGAGTCCAGTGAAAGATCAGACTCATTTAATCTATACGCCCTTCCATCCAGATTAAATACAGGTCAGAAAACCAAAGCAAAATTGTTTCATTTTCACACTTATTTATGTTGTGTAAACAACACTAATATTTTTGATCTTGGATCATATGAGATATTCTTAATAATAATAATGCCATTTTAAGATGTCAAAATCAAGTGCCTTGTTTCCGTAACAGATGAAAACAAGTTTCTGTTGAGTGCAGAGGACAAGATTTTGATCACTGACTGTTCTAAAATGTGATGACTCTAAATTTAATATCCTCATGTCTAGCTTCCCTGGCAGTCTTTCCACATCCAGGGATCTAGGTTTTCCTATTCTGTTTGTGCCCAGTATCCCAAGGATCCAGAGAAAAGAGGATTGTTTTGGAATTGGTGGCTACAGAAATGAAAATGTTACAAGATAGGACTGGTGATGAAAAGAGACTAGTTTCCTGCTCTGCTTTTACTGTCCCATAGGAGCACTGCCTCATGGGGATCAAGGGGACTGTTAAGCGCAGCACAGACGGAGACTTCATTCATGCTAATGTGGACATTGACTTGATTATCACAGAAGAACCTGAAATCGGCAATATAGAAAAACCTGTTGAAATTTTTCATATAATTGAACATTTCTGTCTTGGTAGAAGACGCCTTCATCTGTTTGGAAGAGATAGTACAATTCGACCAGGTAAGACATCAGAAAAAATGGAAAAAAAAAAAACTTTATGGTTTCTTGAAATATGGGTGTCAAAATAGCACACACTGCGCTATGAAATAAAATTGTTAAGGTGTCTGATTCCTCTTTTTGCTGTACTTCACATTCGCCAAGCTCATTCTTCTCACTGCTATTCCATGGGTGAATTGTATACCATATGGTTTGGCTTTAGAAAAAATGTTTTTTTTCCCTTAACAGTGTGTCATTCAATAAAGAATTGCTTGTTATTTTGTTACTACTTTTTGGCTTATTTTGGTCAAATAATAGACTAAGATTTCACTCCTTTGTAATTTGTTGAGGTTTGCTTTTGATACAATTTAGATAACCATTTCAAGTCTAAAGAAATATATGTTGTTTTTATTGTAGGTTTATTGTATTTATTATGTGTTGTTTATATCTGCCATATCTTTACTAATTTTTTAAACTCTTCTGTAAGAAAGGTCTTTTGAAATCTGTTGTCCTTAGGACTTGTGATTTGTTTAGTTGTCAGTTTTGTATATATCTCTGACATTCTGTGGTCAGGTATTTAAAAATGTGTAATTTTTATGCCTTCCTAGCATCATAATATGAAATATCCTCCTTTATCTAGTGTTTCTTACCTTAAAATTCACTTCAACTAATGTTACTGTAACAGCTTTCTTTTGATTTGTGTTTATGTGGCTTTTTATTTCCATCCTACTACTTTCAATCTGCCTTATCTTGTGTACAAACACATGGCTGTTTTCCATCAAGCTTATCTGATTGAATTGTATAGTCAGTTTGTATTCTAATTCCTGATATATTTGGGCAAAAATTACTATCTGCTCTTTGCTTTACATTAGTATTACCCTACTCCTTTTTTTTTTGGACAGCTTAAATACTTTTTTTCTATTTTTCCTTTTATTAGCTTGTTAGATGTTCTTTTATTGCTTTTTCAGTAGTTATCTTAAAAATTACAGCATGCATCCTTTAATTATTAATGTCTAAATTAAAACAGCATACTGATTTTAAACAGTGGGAATGCTGTGATTTAAATGTCATTTCCTTGATTTTTTAATCTTTTTCTCAGTGCACATATGGTTTATGCTTGTCATTCTATGCACTGTGTAGATACAGCTTTGAGTGAACTTTGAGTTGTTAGACTTCCTCTCACCATATATTCAAACACCTTGCCTAGAAGTTTTGTGGGTGATTTTATTGCCTTATCAAAGTAAAAATATTTCAGCAGCACAGCTTACAACAAGCAAATGTTTGCTCTTCAGATTGTGGCTCTGAGGTTTGAGGAAATAAACTGTTTTTTCTTGTCCATCATTAACCTGTCCTACTCCATAATAACTCCTGAAACTGGGAACTGTCTCTAGTGACAACTGCTGTTTAAAGGAGGTGGAAAACGTCAAAGAAAAAGCAAAATAACTATTTGAGTTTTGCTGCGAGTAAAAGCAAACATCAAAATATCAAAAAGATTATAGTGAACTACTGTGTCGTGTCTCTTGCAGTTACTCTGCAAAGATTCATATTGTGAAACTTGTTTTTGTAAGAGTCACCGGGGCATGACAGAGACTGTGTTAGCTGTTTTCATTAAATCTTTAAATGCAATTGCTCCTTACCCCTTAATGTTGTGTGTATGTTGTACTTGACACCACAAACCTGCCAAAAGTCAATCTTGAGGAGAGCAATTAAAAATCTCAGACTGAATTGTCCATGAGCCCATGAGGTATGGAAGCTGCTCTTTGATCTAGAGGTTCTTCTCTACCAATCAGGGTGTCCACTAGGTGATAAATAACAGGCTCCGTATGATATACCTATTATTAATATTTTATATTAAAGTCCTATTGTCTCTGTACTGTTAGGTAAAAATCAATGTTTTACAACAATGAACATTTGTGAAGGTTATATAAAATCTATTAAATTCTCATTATACAGAAATGTTTGCTACCTTTTCTACATTTTGAAGGACCAAAAGGATCATTTTTTTTCCCTCTTCATTTCAGGCTGGCTCACAGTTGGCCCAACTCTTACCAATAGCAACTACAATGCAGAAACCTACGCATCCTACTTCAGTGCCCCTAATTCCTATTTGACTGGGTGTACAGAAGAAATTGAGAGACTTCGACCAAAATCACCTCCTCCCAAATCTAAATCTGATCGCGGAGGTGGAGCTCCCAGAGGTGGAGGAAGAGGAGGAACTTCTGCTGGCCGGGGACGAGAAAGAAATCGATCAAACTTCCGGGGGGAAAGAGGTGGCTTTAGGGGGGGTCGTGGAGGAGCACACAGAGGTGGCTTTCCACCCCGATAATTTTGTCAGACGCTGATCCTTTTAATGCCCTGCTACCTTCTTGTAGTTTTAATTTCAGTTGGGAGACAATTACTTTAGAACTCCGTTCCAGCTGACATTTTGCTTTAATTTCTCAAGGCTGCAGGAGTATCTTAGCCAACCTCCTAGGCAGTTGTCACACACACTAATTTAGTCCAAGATAAAAAAGTCGCCCTACCTTTAGTCATGTGCATGTAACCGACCAGGATGGAACACCATGGACACCTTTACTTTCAGAGCTTGAAGTTATTCTGACAGGTTCCAACTAATTATAAAGGTTTTTGCCTTTTAGTACTAGTTGAAATGAACAGTGAAAAAAATCTGTTGCATCTCACTAGTGCTTATGGTCATGGATAACGGGGTCTTGCCACTGCTGTCACAGCAAATGGGAAGCTATTTGGGAGTCTGGATAGAATGAACTTAGGACAGATGGTAAGTTCTGTCAGAGTTTTAACAGCTCCTTAATGAAATGGTAAAAAGACTTATTTTTCTTTTTAAAGAAATTGTAAAGTCAGATATAATTTGACTACAGAAGAAAATGAGAGGCTTTGAACAAAATCGGCTCCACCTACATCTAAATCTGTGAGGGGAGGTAGAGCTTATAGGGGTGAAGGAAGAGGTAGGCACCTTAAGAAGAGAAAGTGCATCATTATCTCAGTTGCGTACCTGCAGGTGACTCTTAATCATGCTTCCTAAGAAGCAGAAGAGGACAAATATCCATGTGGTAGAACTTTGGTGTAGTCTTGACCTTGGATTCACCTTCCAAGCAGTTTTATATTCCTTAGCAAAATAAGAGAAAGAAGGCACCAACAGAGACACCTGCTTATTAGGTGTGTGGTTTCAGCATTTCAGGGAATAAAGTACTGTGGATGAGGAAATGCAAACACCTTTAAACTTGTCATGGAAGAAGTTCAATATAAAAACAGTTATGGAAAACCCTCAGCAAGACAGCTTAGAAATGGAACTGTGGTCACCTCTTGCTGAAGTCATATGATGTGATGTGTTTAAGGAACTGGCTTTGCAGCTCAGTTGTATGAGACTATACTGTCATTTCTCTTTCTATAACTCATGTAATTGAAAATTTGTTGAATGAGATACCATTGCTCTTGATAAATATATTTTTTTTATTTTGTGTATAATTTTTCTACTGAAACTTCTGGAATTTGGAATTTGAAAGCATGTTTTCTGCAAGTGGAATTGCTATTGCTACCAAATGAAAAAGGCTGAACTAAGATCAGATTCATTGTTTGGCCTGGGATGCAGCTTAGTAGTTAATTCTGTGCCTTTTGTTGGCTCATATTAACGCATAAAATGAGATTATATTATATCCATTAAGGACTGAATTAAAGAAATAGAGTTGAGATCCTTATAAACCTGATGAATTTAACTTGCTTAAGCTGTTCTTCCTAGTATAGATGGCATTTGACCATGACGAGTCTGACACATGACCATCATGTGGCATACATCTGACCATCCCACAGCATCGTATGACTGTCAGGACACACGTGACTGTTGTAGGACCACCATGTGACATACATGTGACCACCACAAGTTTAGTGTAGGGCATGAATTCTGTGTGTTATGGCCATCATGTGTAGGCGTACGTGTGGTGTGTGTGATCTGTAACATGCCATTTCTGGTGCAGGTACTGTCATTTATGATGTGTCATGTTGTGCATGTCATTTGTGATGTGGGTACCATAGCACTTCCTTCTGTGATGACTACCACAAACACTTGAGTGTACCTGATGTCATTCAGTGCAAGTGCAGCATTCATGACGTGTGTGAGTCGTTAATAGGTATCATTTGTGGTGTGTGGCATGTTTCACGGGTTATGTCATGTTTCATTTATGTCAAACTAGTTTGTGGAGTCCAGCCTTCCTGGGGTCTGATTTGGCAGCTGGACCTTATGGCCAAAGTTGTCAAGGATCAATACTGTAGCCACAGGGACTGTTCTGATAGTACTGTGGATAGAGGTCACCTTTGAATCTAAAAGTCAAATGTGAAACCTAAACTGCATCTCTCCCTTTTCTGAAGCCCTGCATGAGGACATAGTTTCATTTTCAGCTAACGGAGCTGTAACAGTGACATGCTTGGGAGTCAGTGTGCTGGCCTTGGCTGAGATTCTTGGGGCTATTATTCAGAATGATTCCTTTTCATGTCTTCTAAAATACTTTAATCTCTTAATTGCTAAATTACAACATTTTGATTAGTTACAGCAGCTAATTTTAAAACCTGTACTGTTTTATCCCGAATTTAAGAGCATAGAATGTAGTCTTTGAAGTAGAGTTCCAGATTTTCCTCATTTGTTTTATATAATCTTTATTAATTTGACAAAATGATGGCCCAGTGGGGACTCATTCTGAATAGTAGTCTTTGATCTAAATGTGTCTTATATTTTTATGAGCTATTAAAAACACAAACCTTTACATAAAAGCCTTTTTTTTAGAACAGTCCTGTAATCTTGGGGTTCATGTGAGATTTTTTACATTATTATCTTTGATGTTTGTTTGGTGGTAGGGAGTGAACTTTAGCTTGGCTCTCAAAAATATATGTAGTTTGCTTTGAAGTTGTAAATTTTAGGACTTCCTAGAAGGTTAGAACATTTATTCAGCCAACTGAGCCCACAGAAGACTCTCTTTCTGGAAAAGTCATATTGCTTATCTCAAGGTTTCCATTATTTACTCAAATATAAAGATGTCTAGCTACAATGCAGCAAAAATTCCCTCATTTAATCTAGATGATTATTTTCTAGTAAACCCTTTCCCCAGTATTAGATAAAAGATTAAAATGACCAGTCTAAGTATATGTTAACAGTTCTTACCTCTTTTACTGGAGTGGCTAAGAAAGCTAGGATAAGCTAAATTTTATCAAAAATACTTCTTGAGAATCTATAAGTCAAGAGTGTAAGAAGCATACAGGAACCAAGCATGTAATCCAAATAGTGGAAGCAAACCATGAGCTTTTTTCATAGTGGAATAATGGTCTTTCTGGCGAGCTTTGTTTGCATATTAAACATGGTAATAATTCATTTACTTCCCATTCCCCTCATCTGTGCTGTTTGCCCACTTTGGTGGGTTTTCTAAATTCCTCTCTAGAAGAGAGGAACAGCACAAAACACCTTAATAAACAGCCACCGATTCTATTCTGTTAGGTTGATTCAGATTCTGTTAGGTTGATTTTAAAAACCAGACTTCTTTGCGCACTAGTTTACTGTTTCAAATTTCTATTGGCTAGATCTGATTCACCGAACTCATAAGTGCACTACCCTTTTTCCTAAGGCATATTGGGTCCTAGAATATCAATGTAGTAACCATACTCTAAACCTCCTTATAAACACCAATAGTAAGTATTTAAAGATATTTTCATGGACCCCACTAATACTTCAATTTGAGGGAAAACTGACTTAAGTCTTATATAAAAGATTTCAAGGTAAATTCTTATTGTAAAAATGTCACATTTATAACTGGTAACATTATTAAGGCTTACCCCTAAAAATCCTCTGCAGTCATTATTCTAACAATAGAGACTGACTGGACTAGTCACTTTGCCTCCTCCCCAAGTTTGTTCTCTACGTGATTTAAAGCTGGATTTCCATGTGTTCAGTTTGGATGGCAGTGGCTCCATGTGTATGAGCATGATGAGCTTTGGGAACCGGGGAGTCTGACTTGACAGGAACCAGGCTCGGGACACGTGCGCATCTTTGAGTCACTGTCATCCAGTGCAGTGAAAATTCACCAGTGGCCTCTGAAGACGGAACTTGCTCCAAGAGGAAAAATTTTAGGGAAACGATGCTAAATACCACTTTCCAACAAACAGAACTTCATAAATAGCTGTTTGGAAAAGAGGAAGTTGTTTCCCAAACATTCATTAGAGATGACATGGGGATTTTTGCTACTCCTCCGAGCTTTCTTTTTACCCAGACTAGTTAGCATTACTTGTGTTTTCGGTGATTAAAATTTACATAGCCAATTGTACCCCAAAGAACTGCTTTGTCCTAAAGACTACGGAGGAGACTTTCTGGAAGGCTTTAGACTTGCCTTCAGTGTATACTGCCCTCTAGTGGAACAGCAGCTCGATTTCAAATTACTTTTCTGTGTTTGAAAAACATGATCCAAAATTTCTTTACTCTTCACTATTTCATTAATGAACATGTTTCCATCTGACTGAACATTAAAAGATATTCTCCGTTGACTGTCACTAGGTTAGACTACCTGGAAGTAGAAGTAATGCCAGTTAACAGCTGCCTCAACAAAGTGTCTTCAGTATGTAAACTCATTTTTGCATCCACTCAAAATACATATTCTTCTCTTGTTTTATATTATTGAAGTTTTAGGTTTTAACACTTAAGCCACTTAGGCAACATTTCCCACATGTTTATTTTAATCTAAGAAACTGTCTTTTTATTGATAATTTCTGTAACATTGAAAGACAGCTTGATTTTGAGCCTATCAAAATACTCATGAGCTCACAGCAAATGAGTCAGGTTACTCCTAGTTTTCATGATCCTTAGCAAATTTAATTTTCAAAACCTAATAAAATGATAACAGCAGTGAATATAATGAATAGCATTTGTGTGCAGGGAACTATTCTAAGCTCATATATTCATTAATTCTTGAAACAATGAGAAGGAAACTGAGGCACAGAAAGGTTTCTGACTTACCCTATGTCACACAGCTAGCGGTGGAGTTAGGATAGAAACCCGTCATTTGCTCCACGGTCCATGCTTTTAGCCATTATGCTCTACTGTTTCTACTGTTTCTCAAAATCTGAGGGAGGACGTTACTGTTTCAGAACAGTATGGTATGGGGGAACAGCACTTAGTCATTTTTGGCAAGCAGTCATTCAAGAGTACTGGAGTCCTTCCTGTCTATACTGAGTTACTTCTGCCTTGGAAATTGATTTTCCATTCATACTCTATTCCCTTTTGTCTTCCAAGAGTCGTTTAAATATTTTTCCTCTGTCTTCCCATCTTCAGCATTGTCTGGAGCTGAGGAATGAAATACTTGCTACTATTGATATAGTTTTCCTACATAATATAGACCTCTTTCCACCAGTGTGTCAGTGTCACACCTCTGGCTGGAATGTGCTCTGGGCCCATCTCAGATGGTGCCTAGATAGAACTGAATGCTTGTCCAGGCGTTGGAGTCGGACGACTGCTCTATTCACGTAACAGGTTCTCCTGGTAACAGAGTAGCTGAAGATCACACTTGCATGCGCCCCACTACAGATGCCTATCAACAAACTCCCTAAGTTTTTCAGGGTATCTGTTATTTCCCAAATGCATCTAATGTGCATTTGTTTTTTGGACACAAGTTAATGACTGTACATTTCTTCTTATTAAACTCCTGAAAGCTGATCTGAAACATCTTGAGTAACAGGGAGACTTTAATAAGGTCTGTGTATTTATTCTACTCAGTTTCATGGCATCTACTAATTTACAGATAACCTTGCTGGCAGTGTCATAATACTAAGAAGGTACTTAATCACTTCAAGGACAAGAGGCTGATGAGAAGACAGGGTTGCTGTGAGGAATAAACATGGACATGTTAGAACACAGTATAATTCTTGGGACATAATTATACTTGATATACTTCAACACTCAGTATTTATTCATATCAATGATAAAGAAGTTGAACAGGCAAGATACAGGACAGATGGTCCATGTCATACTACTCAAAACTGCTCTCCTAGGTTTAGACATATTCATTAGTAATGGTCTCATGTCGTCAGTTAGCAATTTATTTTGCCCACAAGGACACGTTAGAACATTTTTTAAATACCTCTCTCAAGGTGCGTCTGATATATCCTAGATTTATTCATTTACCTATCACTTTCCAATCCTCAAAAAACAATTTAGTTTTCCCAATTTGTTCTTAATGATTCATCTGAACAGCTTTTCCCCAGGACACTAAGAACTACCCTTATTGCTTTTTAAAATCTCAAAATAACTAAAAAATGAATTCTACCTACTGAGTAAGAGCATATGAAGTGATTTATTGATACTGGTTAAGATCCATTATATACAGGTAGAAACCTTCAAAATTGTACAGAGAACCATTAAGAATATTGATAAAGACAGTTTTATAGACAAAACAAATGGAAAATAGTTTTAACATACACAACATATAATTATGAAAAAAACGAGTAGAACAGAAATTGTCCTACCAAATAGATTCCAAGGTTATTAAAAGTCTGCTATGCAAACCTTCAGTTGCAAAATGTGTTTAATGGGGTCACATGGTTTAAAAAAATTAGGTATAATGTAAAAATTAATTTTTCCCCTCACTGCAAGACAACTTTTTACCCCAAATCTATACATTTGGAAAAATAATTTATATGTTTAGCACAAATAAAGAAAATTGAGAATGTTTACAGTTCTGTAAACTATGCCTTTCATGAACTGCAAACTGCATCTGTTCAACAGTTAAAAATTGTGCGATCAGAAATAAGACTGTTCCCTTTAAGGTACAACTGTGCCTTCACTGGCTTTATACCTGAGCACCACAGCTGAAGTGCTGAATGCCATATTGGAAAGCTATTCTGAAAATGAGCAAGAAATCAAAACTAGCCTGTTAGCATCTAGAGAATTAGGCACCAAGAAGGAGATGATCTCCTCAGAAATGCAACATCGACAACAAAGAAGGTTCAATTAATTCAGCAGCTGACAGATCTCCTTGTGGACACAACAGAGGAAATCTACATAAGAGGATCCGCCATAAAGTCCTTTGTCTTCTACCAGGAACTGTCGGAAAACCATTTCTGGCTGTTCTCGCTGCTTCACTATCGTGAGCTGGGGGGAAAACAAAGAAAGGGAAATTATATTAAACATTTTCTGAATGTGGCTCAGTTTTGTCTTGAGCTTCAGAGTCACCAAAATTATAGGATGTCCACTGTGCGTGAAGCCTTGGAGGATGATGCGAAAGTGCTTAGAGTAGAGGGAGGCACTGACCTCCAAATAACAAAAACTAAGGCATACAATTAAAAATGGCAACAATGAAATGTAAGCAAAGCACCACAACGGAGGCATTACAATAGCAGTGACTACCACTTAAGCCTTAAAGGACAGAATAGAATTTCCTTAAGGATGGGGGTGGGCCAGCATTCCATAGTGGGGTACCCTGTACCATATACCAGGTGCCAAAGACACAGACATGACTGGCATGTAAATGAACACAGTCTTCTAAAGTCTGGGAGGTGAGAGAAACAGAACCACAGTTAAGAAATTTGGGCTTTGGTAGGAAATGTGATCCAGGGAAGGTGCTGAAAAAGGAAGTGAGAAGGTGAGCCAGCTGGCAGCAGGCTGCAGCACATCCGAGGGAGGTGAGGGAAGTTGGCCATGGAGCAGTTGGAGGTGGGCAGGCAGAAAGGGAGGAAATTTGAGGGGCGCTGCAGAGGTGGGACCCCCTGGGAGAACCCTTGTTCCTGCTCATTACAGTTCTCTAGGGTCTTGCTGTCCAGTGAGCCCTCACTCAATGTCTACACATTCTTGGAAATTGTAACTTTAAGCAAAATGACTTATAATGAAAGCAGGTCATTGGATGACATCGTTACACTCAAGCTGGCCTGAATTTGTTTTTCTTAACATAATAAAATAAGGTTATTTGGGGGCCAGCTGCGCTGCAGCCACGAGCTGTGTGTAGCCATTGAACACCTGAAACCTGGCTTGTCCGAAATGTACTGAAAGTGGAAAACACAACAATGGATTTCTCAACATAGCATGTAAAAGAAGATGCAAAATCCAAGCACTGTTTACACCGAAACGATGTTTGAGGTATATTGAGTTAATACATATCAAATTAATACATATTATTAAGTACATAGTAAAAAATTGAAAACATGACTATGTGGAAACAGAATTCACGCGGCTGCATTAGTGGACGGAGCTGCTCTGGGAAAGAGGGCGGGAAGCGGGCAGGTCTGTCAGCCACAGCTTGTGCCCTCCTGTGTACCCGCGGACTCACCGCTGCGAGAGGGAGGCAGAAGAAATGATCTGATTGGCCAGAACTTGCTATTTACTGAGTCTGACTGGGGTGGATGGGGCTGCACCTATAAAACAACATCCACCTACCCCCAGGAGAGTCCAGGACATCCACTAGAGGAAAACCCCCAACCCCCTACAGTTTTCCTTTATGTTCTTTTCGCGGGAGCCCGACGCCGATAACCTTCAAGCCACCTCTGACCTCATAAAAGTATATAACAACTGCTGACGGCGCTGCACCACACCTCAGTTGACTGACTGCAGGTGGACACAGACGTGTGATGTCTGGGCTCCCGGATGTCACCACTGGCGTTGGGGGGCGGCAGAGGAAGAGCTCTGTGGAGAAGCATAGCCTGTGCCCCGATATTGGGAAGCAAAATCAACTCCTTCATGAAAAATCCACACGAGGTTAAGACTTGCACCTGGAAGGCCTGAAGCCAAGGCTGTTTTCTTTCTACTTGTATTGCAGCATCTTCTGAGCCACCAGGACCCTGCTTAGCCTGTGATGGGCAACAGCAACCTGCGTCTGGCCTCGATGACACGACTCAGGCTGAGACTGGGCAGGAAAAGACATTGTGGAGGGAAGGACTCGAGGGTCAGGTTTCTTTAGGATTTGATTTCTCTATGGAAATTGAAGAGGGAGCATTCAGGCTGCTCATCTGTGGGGTTGTTTTCTCTTGCTGCCCTTCAGGTGCACTATTTTTTTGTTTTGTTTTTGTGTGGTGCTCACTGTAAAGCCGCCTGCGATGAGATGTGTCTGGCCACAGTGTGAGGAAGGGAATAGAGCAGGGAGAAACTTCAGTAAAGGTAAAGTATGACTATTCTCCTCTGTGATTTGAGTCTCAGACTAAGTTGAACCGCCCATCATTTGTTCCAGGTTGACATAAAAAGTATGGGGCAGGGGGGAGGTCCCAGGAAATGGGACATTTTAAATTCTTTTACTCAAACTCAGAAAAGGCTAGAAGAGCTTAGAAAGACTGGATAACAAAACTTTTCAGTGATAATAAATCCTGTAAGAATTAAATTTACAGGGGCCTCCCCGGTGGCGCAGCGGTTGAGCGCTGGGTTGCAAAGCTGCCTGCAGCCTCTGCAGCGCTGGTTCGATCCCCGGCCACCGGGTGAGGGTCCCACATGGCACGCAGATCTCTTCTGCGGTGCCCTCTGGTCCCCTCAGCAGTGTATTTTGTCAGTCTGCCTGTTCTGTTCCCCGCTCTGTCTCTGGTGAATTCTCTCACCCGCGCTTCTGATTGCACCCAGTGCTTGTATAAATAAATAAATCTTAAAAAAAAAAGAATTAAATTTACAAATGTTCTGAATAATTCTATAATTAATTGAAATACTGAGAGAAAAGTCATTCCAAAGTCTGCTGATGATACCAATTTGTCCTAAGCCATGAAGAGGATCTTCATGAAATCTAAGTTATACTAAGAGAATTATATGTGTATGTTTGTGCCTGTAGATACACTTAATAAGTAGTAGACACTTATTTGAGGTTTGAGTTTTCTATTTAAAAAAATCACATTATGAAAGTATAGGGCATGCATTTAAAAAGTCTTTAATGAAATTTTTAAAATCACTTGAAAAAAGTGAAAAATAAAATCTCATTCTTACCTTCATTGAATATGGCCTCTTTTGTTGGATAATGCTCATTATAATTCTGAGTGTTTGAGAATGTGGGTTTCCCACCTCAGGCAGTAATGTCTAAGATTTAAGAAAATCAAGGCTTAAGTTTCAGTTCTACTTACAACATGTAAACAGAAGCAGCAATGAGATGATAATGTTATCATTGAAAAACATCCTTCTAAACCAGAAACTTGACTACTGGCTTACCTAAAAACCAAACTATGAGAAAATGTATTGATTTTATTAACATACATTTCCACAAATGAACTGCCCTTTGAAAATAAAAATCCTTCACATGACTCTGAAACCTATGTGCATCTAAAATGACACAATGGATGTATGTTTTATGCAAAGGATGTATCAGGAAACTGCATCCCTTGGCATGATGGGTATTTCTAGGACAACTTGTGAGAGGAAAGGAATTATTTTATCCCTTCTTTCAAAGGACTGAGTACAGGACTCCGAGGCATAAGCATGTTTGGAAAATTGCCATTTGAACTCCACTGTTCCAACATTAAAACCGACCACCAATTCCTGATATCTCAAATGGGGCTTCTTAGATTTCCCTGGCATCTGGTTAATGGACTTTAAAACATGACTTTCCAGCTGCCTGTGGCCTCTGGGGCATGTGAAGGGTGGAGACTCAGCTTTCTTCCATAAAGACAGAGTAAAATGCTAATGCTTCTCAGCAAGAAGACACCAAGAGCCACACATCATCTGTGAGTTTGTCACTAAGAAAGAAAGAAAGTTTGACCACAAAGTAATTAAGTGTCATGAAGGGTGCATGGCCAATATTTCCCACAGAAGTTGTTAAAACAGGAAATTCTTCATTTATATTCACAGTCCATCCCCCATGTGTGTTCTTTAACATGGTAGAACTTTTTATTTAATAATAACAGAAAGTAAATATCCTTCATGTGAATATGTCAACATGCCAGCTGTCTCTAAAAGATTACATGTGGTTTGTTTTAATTTTTGAGAAGGTTGAGAAGACATGGAGATAAAAGCACAGACCTACCAATCTGCTGGTTTGTGATAGAGACACTTTGGCTATTTCATACTTGTATCCACTCAGCAAATACACGTTCAAAATTTACTTCATTAATACACAGTGATAGAAAAGAAGACTTCCTTAAATTCTGTATATTCTTCAGACTTACAGTTCTTAGACTACAGAATCTTCATTTTGCTTTTTATTTTTAATTTTATGTTTTTGCACTTCAATGTGATTTTTATTTATTTTTCATTAAGGTAATATTGGTGTTCCACACTGTACCTGATTCAAAAGCATAGGATCCCACCTCTTTAGATGTCTGTCACCACACTGCACCCACCACCAGGGCACCTGCATCCTCCACCACAGCCCACTGTGCCCCTCCACACCACTGCACTTCAAATAGTTCCTTGATTTCAACCACATGTAGATATTTTACTATTTCTACATCTTAATCTTAAGAAGCTAGTCCCTTAATAAGTACACCTTTTGGTTCCTTGAAAATATACTTTAGATAGTCATAATAAATATGCAGCTCTCTAACTGACGCCCTATCTATGTGGTCTGTAATTTTAATCCTGTCCCTTCCTCTGAGATACTATGTGTCTCTAAATTGTATCTCCACCCCAGAAATGGAGGAACCCGTGAGCCTTAAGTCATCCTGCTGCAACATAAAGTGAGGTCCTGGGGAACAAGCTCAGCACTGAGCCCTAGAAGTGAATTCACAAGTAAGGTAGGATGACCAGCATAGCAGCCGGCACAAGCAACATGGTTTACAAATAACATTTGTAAGCAATGCTGACTCTCAAAGTATAACTGATTTTTCCCATGGCAATCTAAAAATAGTCATTTCATCCCACATCTAGCCCATATCTCTGTGATGACTGCCACAGAGAGAAGTATATTCTGTGGGATTATCATTTTGTAACTCATTCATCTGACTAGTCTGTAGCTGAACATACAGGAAGGATTTCTGGATCGTCTGAAGTTCAGAGTTCAGCACTGGGGCTGAGCCCAGAGCATAAGACCTAAATTCACTTCCCACCTCTGCCACTTACTACCTGGGAGAATTCATCTCTGCGCCTCAATCAGTTCATCTTTAAATTGTCGGTAACAAAATTCATCCCACTGATTTGTGGGAGTTCAATGAAATGTGTCTTGAAAGTACTCAGAGCACAATAACCTAGTGAATGATCTGGAAGCATTGGCAACCTCTATTAAAGACCTATGATTTGGTTGTTTTATAATACTTCATACAAACAGCTTTATACCAACTAATTATTTTTTATCAAAACATGAGACTTTTGGGCCTCCCCGGTGGTGCAGCGGTTGAGCACTGGGTTGTGAAGATGCCCACAGCCTCTGCAGTGCCGGTTCGATCCCCGGCTGCTCCCCGGCCACCGGAGGAGGGTCCCGCATGGCGCGCAGACCTCTCCTGCCGCCCGCTGCTCCCCTCAGCAGTGTACTTCGTCAGTCTGCCTGTTCTGCTGTCCGCTCTGGCTCTGGTTAATTCTCTCACCCTCCTGCGCTTCTGACTGTACCTAGTGCTTGTATGTATAAATAAATAAATAAATCTTTAAAAAAAAACAAAAAACATGAGACTTTCTTTTTCTTAAACAGAACTAATTACCTTATGGTTTGTCCTTCTTTAAAAATACAAGTTACACATGAATAGAAAACATCTAAGGATTTATATCTGCACTGTACCACAAAAAAAAAAAAAAGAGGAAAAATACTTACCATATGTGTGTTAACATGTGCAAAAGATGGCACATTAAATATTCCTTGGATTAGTTCTGGCGGACAGCTTACTCCCAACCACAAAAACATGTTTAGACCATTTGCCAACAGGAATATTCCTTCTTCTGAAAGACGGGACTCAGAGCAACGAATAGCAGCAGGTAATGCTGTGCTCTTGACATCTAACGTGTGCTGTGCAGGCAAAGGCAAGAGAGTCAGGAACTCTACGCTTCTCTTCCTTCTCCCTTTTCCCCTTCCCTGCCTCTCCCTCCTGTCCAGGGCATATTTAACGAGTGCCGACTCTGTGCCAGGCAGAAAGGAGAAGGGCAGAGCAGGTAACAGTGGGTGAGGGTGGTTGGATCAAGGGTGATAGAAACTCCTCTACTAAAATGGAAATCCCAGAGTGTTCTGAGTAGAGGGCACTACAGTTGACAAGCACTTTCTCAGGATTAATCTAACTGAAAACAGACTGAAGAGGCAAGAATGTGAACCAAAGGAGACCTTTGGGAAGCTACTGCCTCATCTCAAAAGAGATAATCATGCTTGCATCTGGGTGATCACAGAGGTGAGAAGTGGTTACACTCTGGCCATGCTTGGAGAGGAGAGCTGATGTGTGGTGGATGGGAGAAGTAAGGAGTTAAGAATGAATGCAAGACTTCTGACCCAAAGAATTGGAAGTAGCAGTGAGAACCGGAGAAGCCAGCCTGGGAGGTGCTCTCCAGACCTGTTTTAAGATGTGCATTACATGCCCACAGAGATGCTCAGTAGGTGACTGGACAGCCACATCTGGAGTTCAGGGAAGAGGAAGGGCTGGCGCTCGGGAAGTGGTATCATCAGTATATAAAAGCCATTAGGATGGATAAGACCCCTGAGGGGGGTTGTGTAGACAGACAAAAGATGCTTCACAGAACTACCTGGGATACCCCCCCCCGGGAACAGAATAAACTAGCAGGATAAAAAGCAGCTGCAGGAAAGGCCAAGGAAGCAGCAGAGAAGGCAGAAGAAGACACGTGAAGAGGTGTTTCCAGAGGAAGTGAGCAGATGTTCTCAACGGGTCAAAGAGAGGACCGTGAACGGCCCATTGGCTTTAGCAACTTGCGGGTCCAGTGACCTTGACAAGGGGAATTAAGTGGGATGGTGACCTTCTCATCCCTTTCAGCTCTGGTTTCTCAGGTATGTAGACTGTTAACAACCCAATCGTATCTGAAAGTCAATCACTTGTAATCATTTGCATCTAATATTCTCGATAGAAATAGTAATGTTTTATTTCTGACCCAATTTAACACTTTCCAATTGCTCTGTGACTGGCACCTGAGTATGAGTTTGGATATAGGGGTTAGAAATAAGCCATCACTCTCCCCGTCTCTAATACCTCAATTATATTTGGTTAGGTATCAGGGAAAGAGCCTCAACACAGAGACAGAGGCCTTCAAAATGCTCGACACGTAAGATCTGGAAGAGGACAAAAATGTGCCTCCCTTGCAGACCCCGCTGGTACCTGTGCCACCCCAGGACTTACTATGGGCAGAAACTGTGGGTAGAAGAAGAGCTGGGAGTCGGCCACACCCATGGTCATGACCAGCTGCCTCTGGTATGCCCGCTCATCTGTTGAGATCTCTGGTCTGCCAAGCAGCACACAGTTTTTTAATAAACTATTCATGTACACTGGCAATACTTTCATGGAATCCGGTAAAATAAGCTGAAAAAGAAAGACATTTGTTTTATATGCCTGGCCATTTACTGAGAAAGCCCCCAGAGATGCATGTGTAATGTGCAATATCATCTGCTTTGGAGGCTATGGTGAGGATTAAAAGGGAGCCCAAGATTTAAAGACCCTGGAGCACAGAAACGGAACAGAGTGGGAATTCACAGAACAGCAATTAGTTCCGTTCAATCTAGAGCTACAGAGTCTGGGGTCTCGGCGATGAGGGCAACCTGATCACAGTCCCAGGATACCATCCCAGCTCAGCCTCTTTGCTGGTGTGTGCCCCCAGCAAAATACTTTCTCTTTTCTTTGGTTTTCAAACCTAAAGTGGAATAATAGCTCATCTACTTCATAATGTGGGGAGAGGAGGATTAAATGACTAGCTTGTGAAGCACCACCAGTTGTATCAAACACTCACTATCATGTACGTGTTATTAAATAAAATGAAATAAATGATTTCCTAATCTGTGTTACCAAGACCATCTGTCTACCTCTTGAGTTCCAGAATGGCATTTCCAACTGCCTGTGAAGTATATTTATTTCCCTTTCTGCTTTTCATGCACATGAAATTCAGTCCTAACCTCATCAAACACTTACTGAATGCCACTGTTACAGGTTCTATGCAAAGGATAAAATAGAATTCCATCAGGAATTCCTCCACAGATAACTGTTTCTCCCAAGTAAACTGTGGAAGGGCACCAAATCTGAAGCCACATTATTTGAAGTAAACCTCAAATCCAACAATTCTGGTTTTTTTATTTTATGGTCTATTTTAATATTTTATGGTTACTAACAGTTTTATAATCGCTATGCTTCCCAGACTCTGATAGATAATCCTAAGATATCTAAGTTACATGTTTCAAAGCACAGCATTAGCTGAAAAGTACACCTGACATATGCTTTTATGGAGAAATAAATATGTCATCCTAAGAACAGGAATTATCTCTTTCAACTTTTTCAGAGGAAATTTGGCATTGACCCAATTTTATTCCAGAAATAAACCACACATATAGACGATCTAAGTGTAGAGACAAAGCTTTTAACTTTTAAATCAGAAGAAACTGACAGCTATTTCTTCTTTCCTCAAACAGGCAACAGATTTGTTTCAAACTTAAGGTTTGAGGATCCATTCACCTTAACATTAGCAAATAAACTTCCCGAGAGGATGCTGACTGTACCTGTTCTTCCTCAACTAATCCTGCAGAGAGTGAAACACTGCAGAGACAGAGTAACATTCCCACAGCTCTGAGACAAATAGTAAAACTGGGATGGCCAGAAGCTCACAGCTGGACTCCATCCAGGCAGCTGGTGGGCTTGTGTGAATTAAACTGATGCTCTGTGGAAGGCACAGATACTGGAGCCTACTCAAGCAGTAAGTCTTCCAAACAGTGATGTATAAATTAAAGAGATGCTTCTGTGATTATCAACACAGGAGAAGAATGAATGGACAGTTAATTTAATCATTTTGGATAGCTCAGAAAGGAACTTTGGTGAAAAATCCAAGCAAATAGCTTTGTTTTCCTACTTTACCCATATTATGAATTAAACCCCAAAACTTATCTGTATTATCTCTGTTGCTATAGGTTTAATATTTTTGGGGGGCGGGGGGGAGGGCTCAGATGTCCTCTCAGCACACATTTCTGACAATGAATGAAGCAGAAAGCTCTCCTATCTGTTGCTCCCCAGCTTCTCTTTTAATCCAAATTCTATGCTGAAATGTTTAATACAACACTATGAAAATGGCACCTTTGATTGACATAGGGAAGGATGTGGATAAGAGAACAGATGCCAAAATAAATTTGGATATGAGATTCTACTCTTTCTTCTACAGGAGCATCTAAATGATGTTTATCTAAAGGCTCTTCTGAAATTTCAAATCACTAGATGATAGCCAGAGGCAATTCCTTCAAAACTCTTTATACCTCTTATTAACCTTCAGATACTTTTGCATCTAAAAAGAAGTCGTGGGTCTCCCCAGTGGCGCATATGTTGAGCACTGGGTTGCGAAGCTGCCCGCAGCCTATGCAGCGCAGGTTCAATCTCTGGCTGCTCCCCGGCCACTGGAGGAGGGTCCCACATCGCACGACAGATCTCTCCTGCCGCCCGCTGCTCCCCTGAGCAGTGTACTTCGGTCCTTCTGCCTATTCTGTTCCCCGCTCTGGCTCTGGTGAATTCTCTCATCCTCCCTCGCTTCTGACTGTACCCAGTGCTTGTATAAATAAATAAAATAAATAAATAAATGAAAATGAAAAGAAAAATAAATAAATAAAAAGAAGTCGTGACTGCCATTAGCTCAAGTCCACTTTGATGGGTAATGTATAAAGTGTATTTAAGCATGCATATTTCACAACTAAAGATCCATATTCATATGCAAGAGACAATGCCACTTATATTAGGACATTTCTTAGTTCTATTCTATTATTTATACATAATGGAGTAACTGTCAACCCATTATGTATACGTTTTCATTCATGCATCTTGTAAACTCAGTATGTTTTTTAATATTGGGTAAAAAAATACTACAGTCCCTTTATCAGTCTTCTTGGTTGTATTGTTTACTAGGTGGGATCTAGCGGGTGGGGCATCATGAAGCTTCAGTAGCTAATGCTTAGGGGCAGAGTGGCCCGTGACACCTTTGCATCCCAGCACATCAGCTTACCTGGGAAGTTGCAGATGGGCTCGCACAGTTTTTCCGGTAACAGGCCAGCATATGGGCAGTTTGATGAACGAGAATTTCTCGGATGACTTTCAAGGGCTGGTGTAGAACGGCTTTAAAAGCTATTTGCACAAAACAATGAAAACAGCATCAAAGTTGTAGTTCAGATATGGATCCCTTCAAATGATACTAATAGCGATGATAATAATAATAAACAAATCATCTTCAGACGACCCACCAAGGACCAAGTCTTTCAAAAAATGTGAAGGTCACTTGCTAATGCTCTCCTGAGTGTGATGACTTAGTATGAGTTAGTCGGTGAAGAACAATGGGCCTACCTCTAATGAAATGTAGGTAACTGGTCCAGATTTTCCCTCAAAATATGAGAAACGGAATTCGACACACAGAGAAAAAGAAAGACCAGTTTTCCTTCTTCTAAAGTCCTGAATTCCTATGAACTAGACTGGTGCTTCTTCTAAATCTGAGTATGGAATCTTGATATGGGAATGAGGAGGGAGAGAGGAGTTAAAGAAAATTCCACTTTGGGCCCCTACCATTTCATAAGTATCATAAGTTTCATAACTCACGAGTGAGTTGCATTAGAGCTCACCCAATCCCTTCCAACAGAGTCTAAGTATCCCCTTCCTAAATTTCAATGCAGAATACCCTCGGGGAACTTTAAATAAAATCATATAGCGTGGGGCCTCCACTGGTGGCACAGCGGTTGAGCGCTGGGCTGCGAAGCTGCCTGAAGCCTCTGCAGCACTGGTTCGATCCCTGGCCACCTGCGAGAGTCCCACATGGCACGACATACCTCTCCTGTAGCCCGCTGCTCCCTCAGCAGTGTATTGTCAGTCTGCCTGTTCTGTTCCCATTCTGGCTCTGGTGAATTCTCTCACCCTCCCGCGCTTCTGACTGTACCAGTGCTTGTATAAATAAATAAAAATCTTAAAAAAAAAAAATAAAAAAAAAAAATCATATAGCATGGGCCTGAGTGAGTCCTCATTATTAATCTAGCGTTAGAGTTGCCAACTCTCCTCCTTCATCCTTTGCTTATACAAATTCTGAATCCACCCACCAAAAGGCTGTGCCAACACAGTGCTTGTCAGCTACTAACTCAACCAGCCAACAAGTTTGACTGAGTTGCTAGACAAGGTATGCTGCTCATAGGATTAGCAAAGTATTACCTGACTTGGCAAAGAAATTGATAAGGGCATCTGTCTCACAGCTCTTGTAGACGTCAGCCAACTGGGAGCTGCAGTTCAAGCCTAGGTTGTGAATTCGAAGTCTTCTCTGGCCACTGACAGTTGTGTAGAGCACAGCACACTGCAGAGGCAATATCCAGAACACATTTTCCTGGTTAACATAACCACCCAAGCAAGCTTGATCTTATTTACATTTACAGAACAGTGGGTACAGCTAAAGACCTCTGAACTGCTTCACAGAACCTCTCCTATTATTGCTAAAGTTTGAACAGGACAAGTAAGGAATCAATTCACACACTGACTGGGTTTCCATGTAACATTTCACTGGTTTAAGCTTAAATTTTAAATGGGCTCTTCCCAATTAGCTCAAATGTCATTATCTGTTAGCATTTCCATGGCTAGTCTGCATTTCACACATCTTCGATTTTATTACCAGGGATCCAAGTCCAGAAATGACATCTCATGTTCCTATAGTCCTACTCAAGGATCACTCCCCTTAAAAACATACAAGAGGGACCTCCCTCGTGGCACAAGTGGTTGAGCGCAGTGCTATAAAGCTGTCCACAGCCTCTGCAGTGTGGGTTTGATCCCGGCCAGTCAGGGACATAACCACATGGCACGGCAGACCTCTCCTGTCTTGCCTGCTGCTCCCCTCAGCAGTGTGTTACAGTCCGTCTGCCTGTTCTGTTCCCCACTCTGTCTCTGGTGAATCCTCTCACCCTCCCGCACATCTGGCCTGTACCACGGTTCTTGTATGTATAAATAAATAAATCTTTAAAAAAAAAAATACAACGAGCTTTGACAATGTATTTAAGTTTTAAGTTGTTGAACTATAATTTTCAAAAATGCAAACAAATAGTCACTTCCCCAAATATCTCCAATAAAAAACATCAGAGTACTTTATCAACTCAGTGCTTACCTCATTCCATTCTTTTTTTTTTAATTTATTTGTTTATATAAGAACTGGGGTACAGGCCAGATGCACGGGAGAGTGAGCGGACTCACCAGAGACAGAGTAGGGAACAGAACAGGCAGACTGACAAAATACACTGCTGAGGAGAGCAGTGGGCCAGATATGAGAGGTCTGCCACGCCATGTGGGTTTCTCCCCAGCCAGCTGGGATCTAACCCACGCTGCAGAGGCTGTGGATAGTTTCACAGTGCTAAGCTCAACTCTCCACAACACCAGGGAGGCCCCTCACTCCAATCTTTAAAGGTAATACTAAGTATGTGAAAATATGGCCACTGGCCACAACTGTTGCTAAAATATGGCCACTGGCCACAACTGTTGTTAATTCAAAGCTTAGAGCTTTGGTAAAGTCTATAAACTATAGCTTATGGCTAAGTCAAAACCAAACTCTGCTTACAAGTGAACAAATGAGTAAATGGGAGCTGAAACCTGAAAGAAAGGAACACCACTGGCAATCAGTTTGCTGATGCCTGAATCACGCACCACAGTGGACTCTTAGGCAATGACACTTGACTGTTACGTCATCAAGTAGCACATGTGAATCAAAGTATAGAGAATACAGAGTGGAGTTGAATTTCTTTATAGAGAGAATGACAGTTGATGGTATTTTACTCTCCTCACTGATCACTGTCAGTAACAAAGCAAGAAGTAGACAATGGAAAGGAGTAAGTTTTAAATAACCTGGATTAAGGCTCCGCTGTCTTCACCGAGTTTGTCGTCATGCTTGAATTCCACAGTCACTGCTTTGTCACAATCTATGGCTGCCATTTCCACGTCGGTGGTGTTGTTCATAAAAATTCCCCCAAAGAAGTCTGTGGCTCTGAAACCTAAGGATGAGGAAAAAGGGAAGTATTGTTTCTTATTCCCTTTGATGCTCGGCTATCAATTTGAAGAGGAAACAATTATACAGTAGAGACCTGGAAAATAGTATAAATGAAAATTCATACCTGTGCTAGTACGAACTCTCATAATAGCATCAAATCCTATATTCTTTTCTATATCACTTCTGAGGTCATTCAGAAATTGCTGGCTATCCAAGTGAATCTAAAAAATAAAGTATGATCAGCGTCCACTAGATGGCAGTAAAACACTTACAATGACCATTTTATTTTTAAATCTTGATTAGAACTTATTTTTATCTAGAAATCTTGGAATGGATTCTTAAATCTTTTTCAATTGTATTTCATTTGTAATCTTTGGTCTTATGAAAACCCTCAAAAGCCAACTTTATTGATGAAAAGTAAAAATAGATAGTGTAACATCTGCCATTTATGTTGGGGGAACAATTTTCCTACTCCATGTTTCCATGTGGAGGTACAGAAATGAGAGGCATCCCCTGACTCCGATCCCTCAGGTGTGAGCAGGTGTGACTTACCTGATTAGTAAATTTAGAAAAAGAAAGCAGGTAGGCATAGGCCAACCTCCTCTGTGTCCTTTCTGGGGCGGCCTCTACTGCAGGGACACACTTTCCTGTCCCTTAATGATTTTCTTAAGTATATTTTTTTATTGAGGTAACACTGGTTTATGACACTGTATGATTTAGAGGCACAGGATCTGACCCTTTAGAGATATGTCACCACACCACACCCACCACTAGGGCACCTACATCCTCCACTATAGTCCACTGTGCTGCCTGCCCCTTAATATGTTAATTTTTTTAGGTGCAGGTGGTCACAGGAAACAGTGCCCACCTATGCCTGAGTGTTTAAGTTTGTCACAGTCAAGGGTGAAGCATTAGCAAATCACTTCCCCACAGACCTACATATATTCTAACACTGACATTTTTATTCTCTTAAGTCTATCTCTCAAAAGAAGCGAAGGGTATAATACTGGACCTCCAAGTCCCAACAATTTAAAATATATTGAGCCACTTTTCAAAACAATATCTTAAATATACTTATTATAAAATGTAAAAAATATATATAAACCATATTTTTCCACATCATAGAGGTTTAGTGACATTCTCTGAGGCTGAATGAGGTTAATCTGTTGCCAAAAATGCCAAAAACAAGGATTAGGGAGGCAGTGGCTGAACTACAATTATAGTTCTCTTTCTTTCTATTTTAATTGTGGTAACATTATTTTACAATGTTGTATTACTGATGGACAACTTAAAAGATGTAGGCGCTCCCCCTTCTCTCAGTGTTATCACACCCACCACCAAGTCACCCACAGTCTTCCACCACAGACCCTTTGCTCCCTCAGGCACCATTTCGTTCTCCTCGCTTCTCCTGATGTTCTCAATTCTACAGTCAGATTTCTAGGGTTTATTATTGGTTTTGCTCTATCCGATCCTTTCTTTTTCTATATTCCACCTGTGACAAGGGGCTGATATCCAAAATCTACAAAGAATTCATATAAATCAATAGGAAAAAAACAACAACCCAGTCAAAAAATGGGCAGAGGAGCTACATAGACAAATCTCGAAAGAATACGTACATATGACGTATAGATGCATTAAAAAAAAATGCTCATCAACCCTAACATAAGGGAAATGCAAATCAAAACCACAATGAGATACCACACCTCACACCTGTAAGAAAAGCTCATATCAAAAAATACCAGAAACAAGTGCTGGCAAAGATGTGGAGAAAAAGGAACCCTCATACACTGTAGGTGGGAATGTATACCAGTCAGCCCCTATGGAAAACAGTATGGGGGTTGCTTAAAATATTAAAAATAGATCTGCCATATGATCCAGCAATTGCATTTCTCAGTATCAATCCAATTTATGCAAAAATACAGATACATGCAATATTATGCTCACTGCAGTGCTATTTACATAGCCAAGGTAAGGAAACAGTAAACTAAGTGCCCAGAGACAGATGAGTAGATGGGAAGACGTAGTATATACACACCATGGAATACTACTCAACCATCAAAAAGACAAACTTGCTATTTTGATAACACGGATGGAACTGGAGGGGATTATGCTGAGCAAAATGAGTCAGAGGGAGAAAGACAAGTATCAGATGGTGTCACTTTTTTATCGGCTCTAGATTACATTTGTTATCTGGGGGCAGTTTGCTTAGCCCATCATCTAAGTACCCACAGTGAAAGGGCCACAGAACACCCAGGTGAAGGACTTGCTGGCTTTTACCTGGAAGTTATTATATTTGTACAGGGTTCCTCCTGTGAGTTGAGGTACAAGGCCCAGAGAGGCCACATCCACGTACTGGTTGGGGAAGAGGAACAGCGTCACACAGCAGCCGTGAGCCACACAATCCTTGGCCAGTGAGTCATACCCCGTAGTCTGGGGCTGGAAAAGTGTCTGAAGAAAAAGATACACAAAAGGAAGAGGAAAATCACAAAATAGTTTTGATTTAAATTTGACATTTCTATTGAATTCTTACTAATTTTTTTTTTAAATGAAAAGAATCTGTTTTCCAGTAACGCAAACTGGGCTGAATAAACCATGGTATCAAGAGCATCCAGCCTGTGCCAGGCTTAGGCCGCGGGAAATACTTGTGTGCAAGAGGCTCCCCTTGGCCCTTCAACAATTCCAGCAGTTCCTGCCGCCCCCTCATACAGACACCTTGGTGAGGCAGCCTGTCTGGTGTCCCATTGATGGACGCCGACATCATGGTCTTATCCTTCCCGACTTGTCCCCACGGCTACACCGTCACAGGGTTTGAGCGAAGAATACTGTGAGGTTCAGGGTCCTCCACTGCATGCCTCAGATGTGGTGTAGTCTGTCTCCTCGCTCTCCTTTCTCTTTTTTCTGCATTTCCCCTACAGCCTCCATTTCCATACTCACTCCAAACTCACAAACGGATCACACATGAAAAAAACGTGAGGTTTTACTGGAATTTAGGTATATTTCAGCCACCAGCTTTTCTAGGCATGTAAGATTTCTTAAATCATTTTTAATTCAAATTATCCCTATACCATGTAACAGCCTGGGCTTTTACATTCTATTTAGCCTCTCCATCTCTTTCTTGCACAAAGGTGACAATCCTTCTGAATTCCTCTTTAATAACCAACACATGGTCACTTCCAAGGACAATACCTTCTCTTTGTCTGTATTAATGAGCTTTTTGTCATCTCTGTTTTTGAGTTTCCCTGGTGCTTCTGCAGTGGGCAGGGAGGAATGGAAGATGAACAGCTTCCCAGGACAGTCTGCTGCCTAAAGAAAAAAAAAAACCACATACAACACCTTGAATGGCAAAGTTTTCTTTGAAGGGAATCAGAAAATAAGCAAAAGTATAAGCACTGTATGTATCTCACTGAATCCTCACAGGGACCTTCAGGGCCTTGGATAAGTACTATTCTCTCCATTACATAGTTTGGGAAACAGGCCTGGAGAGAGTTAGATTTGCCTAACGTGTCCAGGTAATAAATGGAAGAGCCAATATTTAAATATAGGCTTATATAATATGATTTCAAAAATGACTCCAAGGATGTTACAGTGGAAATACTTTCTTACTTAGCTTACAGTATGGTCTTTAGGGGTTTTTTGTGATGCAAAAATAAATGACAGAATCCCCTGGATCCTAATGCAGTAGCAGCATTTCCTTAAAACCTTTTGGAAATGTGCATTAAACCTGACGGGGTACCTCAAGGAAGGGTGCACACGATTGTAGGAGTGGTGTAGCAACAGCAGAAACAAGGAACCAGCTCTAGCCAGGTAATGGGGGGAGGACAGTGTGATCAAGATTGCATGTCACAGGTTCTGGGAGGCAACAGAGAGATGATTCAGACTCTCTGAGAGTCAATTTGGCACTAGGGATGTCGAACATTTTATTTAAGGAGATTTTAATCTTTAATCCCTGATAGATGAAGTAATCTACCAAGCAAAATTTCTGGAAATTAAACAATGTGATATATTGCCCCTCCAGTCTTGCCTTCCTCTAAACCATCTGCTGTCTCACAAACAGGGCAGCTGTTGGCGGGTGAATGGGACAGGAAGTAGGAAACAGGGAGAGGCCTTGCTACCAACATCTGCTGTGTGCAGCACTGTGCCAGCCCCTCCTCACTTGCTTTTTATTTGTTGCTTGTTACCCCAGGAAGAAAGAAGTATAGCTGCATGTTCAGGAAAACTGACGTTCGTCCAGTTACACAGGTGACACAGCCAGTAAATGTCAGTTTTGAAGCCCCATGCAGATGGGTCTGCCTCTGTCTTTCCAGGCGAAGCGCCAACATTTCTCCCACCTGCCATTCCTTAGACTGAAAGTTTCAGCCACAAGGGCTTCAGCTTTCCTGGAACATGTCACATGCCTTACACCCCCACGCCCCGCCTCTTATCCTTTGGCACACACCATCCTCTCAGCTTGGAATTCATTTCCTCCTCCTCTTAGCCTGGAGCTGGTGTCTGTAAGGCTGGTTTAGTGGGACTGGCTATGAGGTGTGTTTAAGTTACTTGCTATTAATAATAAGGTACACTTAGGCTTGTGAATACCTTCCTCAAAGAAGGTATTCGTTGATGTGGAGAGAATTCACATCAGCCCTGTTCTCATGTGCTCCACTGAGGGACATTCTGATACACTTTGTGGCGTGAGTCACATGGACACACAGTCCTGCAGTCACAGCTGACATGCACCTGCATCCTGGCTTGTCTTTGCTGGGCCAGCAGTGAGTGGTGGTTTTATGGCTGCATGACTCGTCTACTTGGAGTTAGAGATAGATACAACATTAAGAAGGAAGAAAGCAAGGATAGATGAAGTAGCACAGGCATCCCACCTGTATGTTTTGGCCAGTTAAGGCACATTAGTTCCAGAGACCAAGCTTAGTAAAATTTATAGTAATATTGACAAAAACATGTGAAATATAACAATTTTGAAATTCTATAGCCTTTTTTTAATTTCTACTACTTTTATTATTATAAAGAAACTTTTTGTTTAATTCCAGTAGCAGAAAAGGTATAAAACATTTTTGAATGTGCGTCTTCTCCCCAGTTTGCTTTTTTTAAAACATTTATTTATTTATTTATACAAGCATTGGGTACAGTCAGAAGTGCCGGAGGGTGAGAGAATTTACCAGAGCCAGAGCAGGGAGCAGAACAGGCAGACTGACGAAGTACACTGCTGAGGGGAGCAGTGGGCGCAGCAGGAGAGGTCTGCTGTGCCATGTGGGACCCTCGCTGGCAGCCGGGGATCGAACCAGTGCTACAGAGGCTACAGGCAGCTTTGTAGCCCAGCGCTCAACAGCTGCACTACCAGGGAGACCCTCCCCAGTAGTCATTTTTCTTTTGCCTAGGTCACTCAATACCACTAAGGAATTCACTGTCAAAAACTCTCCACCTAGTTAGTTTCTACTCACAGAAGCATTGTCATTTCAAACCATGGATGTTGAGAATGTGGGATCTAGTTCCTATCTACTGGGTTAGAGTTCGAGTGATTTTATTAGCTAAGTGATATCAGGCAAATTATTGAATTTCTCTAAGCCCCGATTATCTTATATATTAAAAGGGAAAAACAGCAACCACATAAAAACTGTGTGAATTCAATAACTTAGTAAATGTTAATAATTATGATTACACATACATAATTAAACATACATGTACCCATAGATTTAAACTTGAAAGGAAAAAATTTGGGCCCATAAAGAAATAAAGCTCACTACTAGAAAAATGCAGCCATATTTATATGTTTTTCCTTATATTTTCCTACTAGTTTTAGGATCATAATTTCATTAATTGCACTTATTAAATGCTTCCCAAGTAGCATTTTATGCTTTACATGCCTACAAAATTTATGTTTTCACCAAGATCTAATTTCTAATTTGACCTATATGAGTTTCTCATATAAAATTAGATGAATGAAAAATATCATCCTTATTGTGATGGCAAAGGCTGAGAAAGGCTGCCCTCTCTCTGCTCAAAATTCAGCTCCACTGTCCTTTCCTCTGAGAGATGTGTCTGTAGATGCCACCATTTTAGAATTAGCAATGGTACATACAATTTCATGTATCCTAAAGTCTTCTCCACTTTCAAGGTTCACTGGAAACAGAAAAAACCACATGATTTTTCTACAACGTGCTTCCCCAATCCCCATTGGGTGTGGTGTCTTTTAATCTATAAATATTTATGCTCCATAAATACTTGTGGAAGGAATGTTGCTGTGATGCATCATCTTAAAATTAAATTTAGGTGTATATCAAGATAATTTAAAGATAGGCTTCCCCCATACTGACATATTTTAAGCATAACTACTAAAGGTCATTTCCCGCCACCTTTTTGCCAAATTCTTACTTCACATTGTATTTATTTAGTTTTATTGTGGAAGTAATAGCTAACTCAGAAAATGTTCTTTGGCCAAGTTAAAAAAAACAATGCCAGAAATTCACATATAGTTGAGTTATGAGAGTCAGATTTTGAAAGAGATGTAGATTTTGAAAGACTGTGGAAGAAATACGATGAAAATGCAAGGTTCTGGGGACAAAGAAGCACTTAAGCAGAAGACGGTGTATTGCAGCTTTCAGTTGCAGAGGTCAAGGACTTTTGAGAAAGTCTGTATAAGAACTTTCCAGATGGGCCCTCTTTATCTTCGCAACAAATCAGCACATGTTTTTTGTTAGTTTTCGTCTACTTAACTTTGTTTCATGAAATTTATTACAACTGATGAGCATAGATTTCACTTGGCATCTAGCTGATAGTGTGTGAAGCTATAGTTCACGGGGGAGTACTAAAATGTCCTCACTTGGACACACAATAAGAAGAGCTGTGCTTTGATCTCCTTCAGTTTCCACTTCTTGTCCACAGAGGATAAGACCCTCATCCCGTGACCTCCTGGCTATTCAGCTCACCAGAGCAGTCCTAGGCTTTCCAGAGTTACTCTCTGCCCTTTGTCCCTCAACTTTTGGGGAACACAAGCAATAAAAATCTTGCCTCAAGAGTTACATCTCTTCGACCATAGTTAAGTGTAAGTGGACTTAGAGGAAGGGAGAGTACTTTGCCTTATGAAACACAGGCATTTAATACACCCCTACTGATTGAAAGAACAAGAGAATGAATTAGGGGGTCTCTTCGGTACTTAGACACTACCTTGCAAAATCTCGAAAATGTTAGCCCTTAGCCAATTATAAGTTCAGGTAACAATTTTACTATTGTGTATGTTATACCAATTTTAGTATGATTTTTAATCACACAGGACCTGAAAAGATTATAAGATAACATTACTGTCAAATGTAACTAAATAATCATACACATACCAGACACTAACACACACTGTACATATGCGTGCGCGTGCACACACACACCTATTTGAATATCTTTTTTTCTCCATCCAAACAGTAATGTTGCTGTGAGGCAAAAAAAAAAAAAAAAAAAAAAAAGGCATGAACTGCAAACAAACCCCAATTATTCTGCAGCAGTTGTGCTCTTGTACAAAATATTATAATCACCTTCAAGTTTCCCGTCAGATGCAAGGGAAATTTTTTCATAGACTTGTTATTCATATTAACAATCTACAGGCCTCCCTGGTGGTGCAAGGGGTTAAGCACTGTAGTATGAAGCAATCTGCAGATGCTGCTGCATGAGTTCGATCCCCAGCCGGCCAGGGAGCAACCCACGTGGCACAGACCTCTCCTGTCCCGCCTGCTGCTCCCCTCAGCAGTGTATTTCAGTCAGTCTGCCTGTTCTGTTCCCCACTCTGTCTCTGGTGAATCCACTCACCCCCTTCATCTCTGGCCTGTACCCCAGCTCCTGTATGCATAAATAAATAAATATTTGAAAAAAAATCTACAAGAAAAGTTTTGAGAAAGACTCTTTTAAAGACACAGATATAATCAATCTGCCAAAGCAAATGTCAACAATCAGAAATCCATAAGCCGACCAGGGAAATGAAATAATTATATCAAAAAATCTACCTTACGTATTATTAGTACCTTTCTTGGTAGTTAAGGCTAAAAGAAACATGAATTAGAGTGCATATGATAATGGAATATAGGAAATCAGTAGTGACTCTTTTACATGCAAGAAACTGAATGATGTATGTTCTAATGATGTTCTACAAAAGAAACTTACCGTGTGGCGCTATCATTTTAACCACTGACTAAAAGTCTAAGTCAAGACATTCAAGCATCATTTGAAAGCATTCTTAGTGCAAAATAACATACAAAGCTGCATGGGTTCAGTATGCAACTTTGTGGTGAGTTAATTTAAAGATACTCTCAGAGATTGCAGCATGAATAGCCATTCATCTGGCTAGTAGCTCCCAAGTATACATAATCAGCAGGACAAAGAGGGAATCTGATGAATCAAATATGAGAGTGGGGCCAGAAAACTGCACTGTACAGAAGCACCTGCCCTTTAACACGTGACTCCATAACTAGTTAGTTGAGGAGCGACCATCATACTGAGCCCTCTGTAGCAGTGGAGAGTGATGAGCTTCTGATTGAATACTGGTGGCAGGAGAACAAAGGCAAGCACATGCCCCTGACCTCACATTACAGATCACTTTATAAAGACAGTTTCCTATCCCTTTACTAACAGTCCTTCACCTTTTCTAAAGGGAGTTCACTGTATTTTTTAAAACTATTTCTATTTACTTTGATATTTGGGGAGTTATTCCAAATCATTATATTCAGATATTAGCTTTGTCTCACTCTTCAACTTTGATGTAAATGTATATATTACTCTAACAATAAGATTACAAATATAACAAAAAATAATATGCAAAAGGCACTCTGGGTGAAGTGAACAGGCCTCTGATAAATGCTGAGCACATTGATGGCACAGTACATGAGCCAACTCCAAGGACATTGTGGTTATTAAGAACACAGTGGTTTTCCAGTCATGCATAATAATATCACACCAAAATCACACAGAAAGCATGCACACAAATTTGCTTTAGATAATTTTTTGTTCAAGGATACTACTTAAACAGCCTCTGGACCTCTTGTGGATGCCAAAGTGGTTAGATGCTGTGGGCCCTAATTCTGGACTCCAGCCCACTAGAAGCCAGGCCTGCAACTTTTCCTTCTACTTTACACATTAACTTATAGATGAATATCTACTGATCCTTCCAACATGAATGCATGAATGAGAATTTATTCCTAGACCTAACTTCTTAGAGGAGAAGAATATGTGGGGCCATCTATGACTTACCACATATGAGAAAATTCACATATGGATACTAGATACCTTATTGAAGAAAGAACAACAATAACAAAACTCTCAGATTGAAATGGAACATATTTGTTTTTGGAGCTGTTGAATGAAACAGGAATTCTCAAGTTTTCCAGCAACCTAACCGGTCACTATTGTTGGCTTCTACTGGGTAAGCCCTAACATCCCCAAATTACTTTATGACGTATTTATTTTAAATCTTACATAACATTCACATGTATGCTGTGACTTTTTAAGAGATACGTGTGAGTCTTTGATCCCAAATGAGTAAACACTTTGAAGATAAAGGAACCCAGGCAAGAGTCACTGTACTTATAAGCAAACTGTGATATTTAGATGCAAAATTTACACAAACTCCTTCCTGAACACAGTTCTATACTATCACAGTTGCTGTTTATTATTGCAGCTGCCACTGTTAGTATTATTAGTTATTTCATTTTAAAAGGTAACTTTAACTTGAAAAAATTTAGAAATAAATCTTTAAAAAAAATTTACACTCAATTTTAAGAATTAGTTATCACAGCCAAAGTGGTATGACTCTCGTACCAAGGATGACTCAGAAAAAAGTGCTTTTTAGTAATTTTGCCATCTCAGAATGTGTCCATTACTATGAAAAAGACCAAAGTTTCTTGGGTTCAGCTTCCCAACTAGAGACAGGCTCAAATCATCTCTGCTTTTATTTCAGGGAGGCCCTGCCTGACACTCACACGTGCCCTGACTGCTGGGGATTTTGCCTGCACAAGTTCAAAAACCCTAGGGAAGCAAAGGGATATAGAGAGACTGCTCTCTTTGCATTTGGTAGCTCAAAAAGCACTGCAATAATTTCAAAATAGATCATGTAAATTCACAGAAAAGCTAGAGGGAGGAGCTAAACTGGAAATCCTGACAAAATCAATTGTTCAGAAGCTAACAGTGCTGGAATATAAATGCCGGGGGCACACTGTGGTCTGGATCAGGTCCTCCTCCTGGATTTGCTGGGTGGTTTGGCAACCTAGCAACCTTCTTTCACAGATAAAACTTCCTGTGTGTGTGTGTGTGTGTGTGTGTGTGTGTGTTTAAAACTGATTTACCAGTTAAAAGAGACGACTTCTCACCTTTAGTGCTTCCATGCCAGCCTGGATGACAGGAGCAAAGACAGTCTCGTTTTCATTAGAGTCTGCAAACATCTCTGGAATTTGGTCCAGTAAGCTGAAGAAAGAAATGAGCAAAATATTTTAAATGTTCAGCATATTTAGAATAAATTTCAAAAATAAATCATTCACATCTCAAGCCAAAACACATAAATTTTCATTTGACACCAAACATGTATGGATGAATTACAGAGAAATTCCTCAGGGAATTATAACCTGGGGGGTGGTTTGGCACCAAAATTTATGGTTAGGATATTTACAAAAATTATACTTTTTGTAAATATTTTTTTCTACTCAATACATTATTGATCTGAAGCAAAAAATCTTTATAACTTTTTAATGAAGTTATTTTATATCCTTGTTAATTTTTTGGCAGTATAGGATTTCTCCCCTAAGGTGTCATTGTAGCTCTCCTACCACCACAGCCCCTGTGGTCAGACTAGACATTCTTGAACTAGTGGCTATATCTTTAGTGACTATCACCACCACTCAGCCACACGCAGGAAGATCTGCTTTGCTTTACCTTTCCAGAAAACAGAATAGATTTGAATGTGAGCGTAAAAAACAGTCCTCCTTTTAGACTCTGATGGACATTGAAGAGAGAGAGATTAACATAATGACAGAGCCATCCAATCCATACCTTAAAGACTCCTTGCTAATGACAAGACAGAATAATGTGTCATTGAATCAAAACACAATGCAATCAAAACCAGATACCCGAATTTCTTTTCAAAATTATAAAGCATTTGGTATTTACTTGTGAATCACAGCTTGAGATTCTTGATAGTTGACAAGGAAACCATCTAACAAAGGAACAAAGACCTCTCCAACATCAGTCACCACCATCATCTGTGGCTGGGCCAAATTACTCTTCACATTAAAGAAATGAAGAACTTTGTTGTATGTGATAAAGCCAACTCGAATTGCAGAAGTCTCTTCTTGCTCTTCCCTGTAAAGAAGTAAAAGTGCTTGAGGTTCTTTCATAAATTGACAACAAAAGGAAGGTTTCTATTTGAAATTCAATGAGTATACTATCTATAAAATATACAACAGATATATTTAAAGTTTTGATCTTTATTTCTTTTACCAGCTGAGTACTATGTCACAGTGGAAGGAGATGACAATCACTAAAAAATAGTTGACAAAAAAAATTCTTAATATTCAAGTAAAAAATCAAATGGGCATTATGAAAACATTTTTCATTATTATTTCTTCAAAATATGTTTATTATCAATCCATAGCAATTACAAATGTGGTCCCCTCCCCATAAACAAGTCAGGTTTATTATATTCTTTATAACCAAAACTCTCTCTGATGTCACCAGAAGGTGAGAAGAACAAATGGACTATGTGAAGCAAGAGAAAGGCACACTCAGAGCACTAACAGGGCAGCTATTTTTTAAAAGAAAGAACTTGCCCATCCTACATGATTCTTTTCTTACATTTGAGTCTTAGAGACTCTCAAGAGAAAATGGGCTCGATCTTGAGGACTCTGTGCAGCATATGAACTAGATCACATACAGGACCGGACAGTGTCATTCTTATTTGCAGACTATGACAGTCTTGGCAAGACAATGAAAGCAATAAAGGTCCTGAAACATAACAAACCATGAAAAAGTTAACTCTGTTTTCGAGGAATTCCAAAACAAAAGCTTAATCTTCCTGAAAGGGGAATAAAAGCATGAATAGTCACGAACAGTCTCCTTCAAGTCTATACTTAGTATACTCAGAATTAAGAGGTCCACATTCTAGTTACATTTTGCCACATTCTCTCCCTCTCGCAGCCCTAAAATTATACACTTAGACATAACTAATATTATTAACAATTTTCACTGACGATGCATACTGCTTCACAATTACATGAAAGCTGTGAATTACAAACTTCAAGACCAAGTGCAAAATCTTCTTCCTCTGTGAAACCTCCTCTGGTGCTATCAACCAGAAGTTACTTCCCCTTATAAATTCCTGAAAATAATCATCAGTGGACTCTTAGTATATAGGGCATTTCAACAAACAGTTCACCAATTCTTGACTAAAATACAGTAAAGTTCAGGGCTCAAGGTTTATGTACATACAGCCCTGTGGGGTCTAGGAAAATGTGGGAACAGAGGGTTTGTTGATGATGATTTTTTTTTAATTAATTAATTTATTTATACAAGCACTGGTTACAGTCAGAAACACGGGAGGGTGAGAGAATTCACCAGAGCCAGAGCGGAGAGCAGAACAGGCAGGCTGATGAAATACACTGCTGAGGGGAGCAGCGGGCACAGCAGGAGAGGTCTGCGCGCCATGTGGGACCCTAGCCAGGTGGCTGGGGATCAAACCGGCACTGCAGAGGCTGCAAGCAGCTTCGCAGCCCAGCGCCCAACTGCTGCGCCACTGGGGAGGTCCTTGATGGTGATTATTATATGGTGAAACAGGGTGTTTGGGTTGGCAAGTGAGAGCACAATTGATAAGCTAATTATAGGACGGCTTTCCAAGGCCAGTTTGGTGACAGACCTTCATAATTTAAAATCAGCCTGGCTGGAAGTATTTATACCACAGGAATGAGCAAACATCAAAAATCCAGGCTTGATTACTTTGAGAGCCAGTACGCCACTCGGCACTGGTGAGGGTCGCATTTCCCAGCAAACCTTTTATTGCCTAAGGTGAAAAAAGGTCCAGCAAATCATTAAGGACACTTACTCTCTCTCAATGATTTCTTAGAACTAACAGAAGAAAAGAGCACAAAAGAAAAATGACGATTCTGGTTTGCTATTTCCCATTGGGATTGGACATTTTCAAGAGATGAGAAAGGTATATCCTGGGACTCAGAGGTTCACTTAGCATCTAAATTAACACTTAAAAAAAAAATCTCATCAGAACGTCTCACAATATTTCAAAATATTGGAACACATCCCCATGGGAACATATTATTTCTTAATTTGTTTGAGAAACAAAGAACTAACTTAAAATTTTCTTTTTCAACAGTATAACTGCCTTGTTAAATCATATCTGGAAGAAAAGTCTTACCCTCTCCTTCGTACTAACTCTATACAATTTCCATGGAGTTACATAAAGGATGCCGTATAGAGCAATATGTTGTTGGCATCCTGCTTTTCAGTGACCACCCCCAGAATTTGCTCCCATTATTTTAACAAATGAATCTGACAGAGCAACACTGAAAATATTAGCATCTAGATCAACCAGAATATTCAAAAGTCAAGCACTTAGAACACTTTCTCTACAACATTAAAAACAAAACAAACAACCAGAAAAGACCCCAGAGCTTGATCTGAATAATGGGTGAAATATTTCAAACCATTTCAGTTCTAGAGAAGACAGAAAAGTCTGGCAACCTGGGGATAGCAAAGATATAAATTTGAAGTTAAATACTAAAGAATGGGGTCCTCCCTTTTCAAAAGATTAACTAAGAGATGAACATACCCAAGACATTCATCAAGACTTGAACAGTGTTTTAAAAAGGTTATTTTGCATATTAACTGCTTTACTTCTAAAAAATAAATCAAAATCTTGGAAATCTTATTGTAAAAATGTATATAAAATTATATGCATGATTAGACCAAAATAAATTTGGGGGGAGAAGGAAAAAAAACAATAAATTAGTTTGAAAAGATGATGGAGAAAAGACATTTGGACTTTAATAAAAACTTTTGAGAGGTATTTGGGCAGTTGCAGGGAATTAACCATCAGTCTTCTTTTTATTTTTATCTTTCGCCAAAGCCACACATCTGCTCCAGTGGGATATCAAAGTTATGATGACACTTACAGAAGGAGTGTGATTTTATGACTTAAAAGTTTTGTATCATCACTTGTTGAAAAGGAACACATGGTTGGTGAGCAGACCAGCCTGATCTGAGGTAGGGTGAGAGAAGGAAGAGAGAACATTTCCAAAAAGTAGTTTTCTTTCATACTCATCAAGCTCAAAACTCAGATTCAAAATTTAAACAGCACAGGTAGAGCGTTCTCTGATAAAATAACATCATAGTAACAAAAAAAGTCCCTGCCTCTCAAGGTTCCCTAAGAAAGAGGTCACAAACTATAGTCACAAGTCTGCAGGCGGCAGATGCCTTTCTGATGCTCCCTCTTCAGCCTGCCTCCAGCTCATTCTTCATTTTACAATTCAGTTTGAAATCACCTCAGTGTTTTTTAAACATCCCCACAGCTTTTCCAAACCGTGCTCGAGAAGATTATGATTTCAGCTTCATGGAAACAAACAAAACTACTCCTGGGAGGTCCAGAGTTCTCTCTGCCGAGCCTCCTCACGCGCGCTCTCAGAGGGCCATAAGTGGCGGGGGTATGAAGAGTAGCAGCCCAGATTGTGGGCTGCAGATAAGCTACTGCCAGAGCTCCCTTTCCAGAACAGAGATTGCTTTTATGTTCAGGCGTAGAATGGGAAGAGGCTGAGACTGGTCAGGTAGCATGTGCCAGACCATCCTTCCTAAGTTCTTTTATTTTCTCAACATGTCTTCTTCTCATAAAGGAAGGCATTTTCTCTGTTCTTGAGTCTCCTTACTGGATGCAAATTCCCATCCTAAACAGCTTGTGCACAGTGATTGCTAAGCTACCTTTCCACCTTTCCATTTGTGCACTGCCCCTGCCATGGAGGGGTGTACTTGCACAGTCACAGAACACAGAGACAAGGAAGCTGCAAAGGCATTAGGTAGTGTATTATAAGGGCAAAAGGAAATTTGGTTAAAAAGCACCATCTCTGCATAAGACAACAATTTCCTTTTCTGTCACCCCTTAGATGTTTACCAAGCCTAGCAACCACTAGTGTCCACTTGGAAAACAATGCTTTTGAAAAAGGGAAACACAGCTTCCAAAGTCTTCTCTACCACACTGTTGGAATTCTCCTTGTAAATGACAATGTAATTTGAATACTGTTCATGACAGCATTATTTGTCAGGTGTTTTTGTTGTTTTTTTTTTCCTTTTGCTTTGTACCAAAGTTCACAATGATTTTTATAGGATTTCAAAGATTGGTGCTAGTTAACCTATAAAGAATTACCCAATGTCCTCATTAGCAAAAAATAGCACTTGTTTCCTGTCTAATAAATTTCCTACTGATAAACTAATTCGGCAGCATTGTATAAGTTATAAAAAGAATGTCAGTTTCCTTACTTTGGAAGTCTTTCCAGCACGGTCTTCAGTTCTTCACAGATGAGCTTCACAAGTCCATTCTTTATGTTACTATATGAAACATCAATCATGAAGATAAAGGCTGGTGGGTTGGGAGGCTTATTCTTCTACAGGAAAGCAAACAAATCACATAAACATGTAATTATGACGTGCATACATTTCATAATCAAATTAAAACATTCAGAAACTCTTGCTGTTGAAACATCAATGTTCCATCCAATATTTAGGATGTAACTGCTGTGGAAGTGAATCACTTTCTAGAACACAGTCTCTAAAGCTATAAAAAATATACAAGCCGGCCTCCCCTGGTGACGCAGGCAGTTGAGTGCTGTGCTGTGAAGCTGTCCACAGCCTCTGCAGTGCCGGATCGATCCTGGCCAGCCAGTGAGGGTCCCACATGGCGTGGCAGACCTCTCCTGTCTCGCCCGCTGCTCTGCTCAGCAGTGTATTTCATCAGTCTGCCTGTTCTGTTCCCTGCTCTGTCTCTGGTGAATCCTCTCATCCTCCCACGCATCTTGCCTGTACCCCAGTTCTTGCATAAAACAAATAAATAAATCTTTAAAAAAAAAAATATATATATACAAGCTATTTATTTTCTAGGATATGACCTAGGTTCCACGATTGAAATAGTATTACAATATCTAGCAGAGAGAGTTCACTTTCATAAAGCCCCAAAGACCTTATTGCTACAATTGTGCAAGAGCACGTATTGTCCACGTTCCGCCTTGTTTATAACACTCCATCTTACAGGAGGGAATGTGCCTGGAACCTGAAAAATTCTGTCCAAAAAGAGTGTATACAAAAATTAGCATTTGTTTTTGGAAACTGTATTAACTTGTACCATTAACTTGATATTGCTATTTTCAAATCTCTTCCTTTAGAAGTTCTTTTTGTTTTAAAGATATGAAGTTATATACAAAAATGTAACTGTATACATAAAGATTATACTATATAATTAAATACCCACCTATTTCATTCCCATTTATGGTAAAAAGGGAAATATTGGGCCTTTTCTATTTTAAACAATCACTATAACATAAAACAGCTGCTGTATAAATATTTTGTAGTTGTTGGTTCCATTACTGGCTGGTGTTCAAATAGCTCTTAGGAAGTGATTCTTTCAGTTGGGTCTTAAAACATATTGAGAAAAGAGAGCCACAGGCCAACAATGTAAATGACTCATAGAGACTCAGAAATAACTCTTCTAGAGACTGAAGAGTTAAATCAATTTAATTTTTAATTTTATGATAAATGACAAGCATTGTACAATAGAATATTGTAATTATTATAATTATAAACCTAGATGATAATATCTCCAAATTAACTCACTGATTCATTCTACATCCACTACAAGGTGAAATATGTTCTCCTAACAAAAGTCTTTCATTGGCAAGTAGAGGAAATTATAGGACAGAAAAACCATCAACCTACAAACTTCATCACTTGCCACATCCAACATCAAACCAACAAAAAAGGAAGAAAAATACTGCTATGTTAGCAATTTTTATTGTGAATCATCCTTATCCCGACCAATTTTACTCATTGCATAGATTTAAGTTAATGTATTTGGGATTAAAATAACAATCATTTCCATTAATTAAACTAAATTAATTATATCACCAACCCAAATGTACCTTTACCATGCTTGCATTCTCTCCTAAATTTACCATTACGAGTTCTCTCTAAATGTTTTCCCTATTAGTAGATTATTCTTTTCTACGGGAGTTGTACACTGTAGCTTTTCTATGTAGTTCCATTATTCTTCTAAATTACATTCTCCTCCACTTCTTTCTGTAACACACCAACTCAAAGGCTGAAAAACATGAATTAGATTTGACTATTCCTTTTCCACTAATTTATTCTTTCAAAGTTGATATATACACAATGGAATACTACTCAGCAATCAAAAAAGATAAACCCATGCCATTTATGGCAACATGGATGGAGCTGGAAGGGATTATGCTAAGCAAAACAAGTCAGGAGAAAAATGATAAATACCAGAGGGTTTCACTTGCCTGTGGAATATAGAGAAACCTAACAAAGTGTCAGGGGGGAAAAAAGACAATTTGGAAGCTGATCACAGAGCTGAGGCACAGAGCAGAGGAAGGGAAGGGAGAGGGTTCAAAATAGGGGTAGGAGGAGCGCCAGGGACTTCAGTGATGGGTCACAGGTGCTATGGTGGTGGGAGAACTACAGGGACTACACTTGAGAGAAGAAATCAAATACTGTCCAAAAATGAACAACAGTATAAGAAAGTTAAGAAAACTTTAGAAATTAAACTTGAAATAATATTTTAAAAAAAAGAAAAAACAAAATGCTTCTTTCACATACTGTACTCCATCCCTACTCTTAACCTTCAGAAGCTTGTTATTTTGCACCTAGAAAACTCTAATGGCTTCCTCATTGCCTTCTTCAGTGGATGACTCTCCCTCATCAATCCAACTTTGCTTTTCCAGACATGCTTAACCATCACAATACTACAAATACTTGGTTTTCCATGACACTTTACTAAAACTGCTAAAATCCAGTTCTTCTAAATGTCTTTATTTCTTTGCCCTCTTAGGCATGGAACACCTCTTTTCAGCTTCCAATGTGCTGTGGGATCATTTCCTCTCCCAGTTTCTGACTGTTGCTTCCATTTTTTATTTTCTTAGCTTTCTCCAAAGGTCACCCTCTTCTTTCTTCTCCCCACCTGCTCCCTCATGGAAATCTCATTCACTTACTCAGTTTCAACCAGCACCTCTACAGAGGTGGCTTCTCAAATTCTCCTTCATCCTGGTCTCTTTTCCGAGCTCCAGACAAGCATCCAATTAGCTATAGCACAACTGCCCTCACCTTACACTCAAAATTTTAGAAGTTAATACATTTCTCCCACAAAACTGGTATTTTCTCTAAGGAAAGTACCAGAAAGCATGGTCCTCTACAATAACCTGGGCTTGACATCTCACTCTGTACCTGGAATTGTCCATTTGACTTCCCATCCCCACACAAATAATACACATAACATAAAATATACCACCTTAAACATGTTTAAATGTACGGTTTGGGGGCATGAAGTATATTCACATTGTTAGACAACTAACAAGAACTTAACTCTTCACCCATTAAAGAAAAACTTACAATGTCCCCCTCCAGTCCCTGGCAACCACTCTTTGTTTCTACATTTTGTTTCCATGAATTTGACTCCTCTGGGTACTTTATAAATGTAGAATCAGACAGTATTTATCATTCTTATGACTGGATTATTTCTCCTAGCATCATGTCCTCGATACTGATCCCTGTGTCATAACTTCTTTTCCTTTTTAAGGAAAATCTCCTTTTTAAGGAGATTTCATTACACACGCATGTATGTCAAAATTTTTATTTTATCCATTCAACTGTCAATAGGCACTTGGGTAGTTTCCACCTTTTGGATATTGCTATGAATATGGTGCAAAACGCTATGAATAACTGTGGAAAATACACACAATAAAAATATACCATCTTTTGACGGGATCAAGAAGATGTGGTACATATAGACCATGGAATATTACTCAGCATTCAAAAAAGATAAACACATGCAATTTGCAGCAACATGGATGGTGCTGGAAGGGGTCATGCTCAGCGAAATAAGCCAGAAAGAAAAAGAAAAATACCGGATGGTCTCACTCATAGCAGGAATCTAGAAAACTTAAATAAAGGAGCAGGAAAATGAATAACTATAAGAAAGTGAAAATCAAAATCAACAAAAAACTATGAACCAGAGGCACTCTTTGGGGGGTGGGGGGCGGGAGGGGAGGGATTGGGGTCAGAATGGGGGGTTGCAATTGTATGGGGAATATAAAAATAAAATTTATTATTAAAAAAAAATACCATCTTAAACATGTTTAAATGCACAGTTTCAATTGTATTGAGTATATGCTCAGACATGGAATTGCTGAATCAGATGACAATTCTATTTTTTTTTTTTTTTTTTTTTGAGGAGCTGTTAGACTACCTTCATTTTCTTTTGCTTGGGTTGCTGCATTAACTTGTCTTACCTTCCCGCTTCTAATCTCTCTCCTCTCATTTAATATAGGTCATCAGAATAGACGGTCTGAGATGTAATACAGATCATGTTGCTACCAACTCCAACTGTAGGAAGTTTACTGGGTCACTGGAACCATGCATGGAGCAAGGCACCAAAAAATAAATAAATAAATAAAAGCCAAAAAGTGCTTATAACTGCAGGTTGATTGAGTTAATGAATATGTGGGTGGATGGGTGGACAGAGAAGTGGAGACAACTCCATCTTACCATTAATTGCCCTCAAGGACTACTGAATTAAAATAAATTTGTCAATGGCCTGACTCTCCCTAATACTCACTTTTTCTAAGAGATCAAAGGTAGGATGTTGGATCCAATGGAAAGTAAAGGGACACTGTGTGTATCCAAACAGTTTCCCAGCTTTACTTCCCCTTATTTCCCAATACACAATCCTCCAACTAACTTAAGTGCTTGCCATTTTCAAAGTATTTCCTATCCAGAAGTCAAATCTGGTGAGCCTAGGCCAAGAATTTGGCCAGAAAATTGTTTTCCTTGGCAGAGTACTTTTTAAAATGTTTGAATTTGAAAATGTTTTGGAGGAAAGGGGAAGTTAGTCTCCAATTATCTTGTCCCCATACCAGCCCACATTACTCACCCACAGTGTTGCCTAGCTCCTGAAGAAAGTGGAGTCAGCTGCAAGTTCCTTTGTGAGACCTGCTTCTCCCCAACATTTAGATCCCCAGCCTCCATTTCCATATGTCCATTTTCTGCTCACAGTTTAACCAGCTCAAATGTCACTTCCTATATAAATCTTTCTGTGACCCTCCAAATCCTGTTATTGCTAATCTGTTTTCTTATGGCACTTTGATTAATCTACTCTTACCTCATCGATCATAATCAGTTTGTATGGTAACTATATACTTTTCTTATCGGGTCTACACATGGCAGGTATCTTGAGATCAGGTTCATCAATCATCTAGCTAATTTCAGGTTCACTGGCAGGACATATCCAAGTGCCTTGGACATGCTAGGTATCCAATAAGTGTCAAAGTAAATTAAAATTAAGTAGAGAAGCTAATTTTTATTTAGGAAAAGAAAAGCCTAGATGAGATGCGATTTTACACTTCAGGTACACTTTATATGCCACTATATTCTATAAAGTGATAAGTGGAAAACTGTTATGTGACAGTTTTCCATGGTGATTTTCCAAGGGAGCTCCATGGTGATTTTCTAAGCATTTGCCTCCATATCCACAGTGGTATGACAGAGAAGCGGGAATCCTAGGTGTACAGATTGGGTTTGAGATTGGCTCCATCATTTTTTACATGTGGGGACTAAGGTTGGTACCTTAACTCCATGAGCCTCAGTTTCCCCTTTTAATGGTGCACTCACCAGATGGTTTCACTGTGAGAAATAAATGACTCCATGCACTTAGCACAGAACTTCACAGAGTAAATGTTAAGGAAATGCCCACTTAACATCTAAAATTGGTGTTAAAAGAAACAAAAATGAATAAGGAAATGTGATTTTGTAATTTTCCTGTAGTTGGCAGGGTACTTTTTAAAAAGCACATGTAGGCATTAAATAAGCTCTTTTCTATCATTCAAATCCTTAAGGCAACTCATTATTATACTTCATTTATATTTTAAATTTTAATTAAATTTGAAGATATTTACAACATCTTTTATGTTGAATTCTATTTGGAATAATAAAAGGAAGATTAAGTTTACAAAGTTCTTCAAAATGTATAATTTTCATTTGGCTCCTTGCCTGCTAGGCGAGATTTCTCATCAATTAGACATCTGGAACACTTCCAGATAACAAAGTTTGAAGATACTAAGACTTTTGTTCCCAGAAATAGATTTGATTCTTTGCCCAAGTTTCTGCTAAAAAAAAACATAAAATCCAGATAGCGTAACCTTTTTGGCAGAGACATGGTAACTCAGAGCCTGGTTAGATTTATATGACAGTTGCAAAGATCAGTGAATAGATTTTCCATCACTAGTTATAATGGCTTTATTACATTTAATTAGAACTTCAAATGTTTATAGTCTGCCAAATCACTCCCCTTCAGTCAGTAGCAGTAAAGAACAAATCAACTGTCTTGGCTATCAGTACTGCAGGACATGCTTTTTGCTTGAAATAACACATTTGTACCAAATGTGTTCTTACATTTCCCAGAACATGTTCAAATCGTATAGCATTTTAAACTAATAAAGAATTAAGTTGTCTTTAATAACTAATCCTATGTAAAACAGTGAAGAAATCTTGTAAAATGCTAAAAATAAATGCAAAAGTTATGTTAATTGAAAAAAATTAAATGCAATCAATTAAATAAACTTTAGTTTAAAGAAACATTCTTTGTTCACAGACTGCAAAACATTTATGAAAAAAATTGGTGCACCAGAGGCTGTTTCCTGGAAACTGGGCATTCATTTTTGGAAGGGGAAGCAAGGAAATAAGTCAGAATCACTGCTGGTTGTCAGTCAAGATCTCATGCCCAAGAAGGTATTTCTAAATCATTCAAGAACTTTAAAGTCCTATAAGGTATGCACAATGATGACTCTGCACTATGACACTGGAGAAGGGAAATATATGTTTCATCAGCTGCCTACTCTGTGCCAGAATCAGTGGAAGGTGTCAGAACAATGACTTGGGCACGTCTATTTTTCTATGAAGAAGGAAACATGTAAGAAGATTCAAATTTCCTCAAGATAACTACTAAAATAGATATGTGGACCAATTTCCATGAAAATAACAAAAATAACTGAGAAAATTCAGTAAATCATTAGCAAGATGAAATCAGAAGAATCTGTGTTCTTACTCTATGTGCATGCATTATGCATGCACATACACTTCAGCCAGGTGTGAGGAAATAAGGAGCTTGCCAGGTGGGATATGGATAGCCATAACAGGAGGGTGGAAAGAATCCTAGACATGTAAAAGGAGTTTGCAATTCAGAGTAAAAGATGAGGATTCTGTATATTGAATAAATAGGTGAGGAAGTGGTTTGGGATCTAACAGTTCATGATCTTACAAGGAAAGCTAAACTTTTTACATTAATTTTTATTTTTTTTAAATTTTTTTAAAATTTTTTTTAATAGAGGCATGTTTTATTTGTTTGTTTGTTTGTTTATACATGCACTGGGTACAGTCAGAAGCGTGGGAGGGTGAAAGAATTCACCAGAGCCAGAGTGGGGAGCAGAGCAGGCAGGACCGAAGTACACTGCTAAGGGGAGCAGCGGGCGACAGGAGAGGTCTGCGCGCCATGTGGGACCCTCCTCCGGTGGCCGGGGAGCAGCCGGGGATCGAACCGGCACCGCAGAGGCTGCAGGCAGCTTTGCAACCCAGCGCTCAACCGCTGCGCCACCGGGGAGGCCCTTACATTAATTTTTAAATCAAGGTACCCATGTAGCTGAGCTAGTCTGGGAGAGATTCCTGAGTTGGAGATTGGAGGTAGAGAGGTTCTATGCTATCTGGTAGAGACAGAAAAATTAAATTACTTTCTATTTCGGGCTCCACATTTTAGTTTTATAAAATGACCACGGCAGTGAATAGTTTTGCATCTTAATTAGGTTAATGACTAGAAGACCTGGTTTGTATCTCGGGCATTTCCAAATCTCAATGGCACCACCAAAATGCTTTGTTTGTGAATCAAGGCAGCTCTTTACATTATGAAAGTTATTCACTTGAACCTAACATCAATGTATAAACACTTACCCTGCAGTAATCCAAAGTAGCAACAAATTCATAAGAACCCAGTGATAGCTCTGGTTTCTCATAGTGGTCCAGTCTTCTTCCCATGTGGTCCAGATGTTGGAAATAGAATGGTGGTACTAATGGAAATAAAAATAAGAAAGGAAATCTTCTGTATTTATAAGAATTTAATAAATGCTCAAAATTCATTATGGGAGAAAATGAGTTAGTATTTTAAAAAGTGTGTTTTAAAGCTGCAATGTAGTATATTCTAAATGCCCACTATTAAAAAGCATGTCCAGGAAAGTGTGAGGATTTTCTGAAAAAATCCTCTAGGCCCCTCTACAAGTTACTGATGAAAAGGGGTATTTATGATTTGAAATATCACAGAGAAACAAATGAAAGTATGGCGCAGTGGGTTGAGCGCAGCGCTGCAAAGCTGCCTGCAGCTTCTGCAGCGTGGGTTCAATTCCTGGCGAGCCAGGGAGATACCCACATGGTGTGGCAGACCTCTCCTGTCTTGCCCCCTGCTCCCCTCAGCAATGTTTCCGGTTGTCTGCCTGTTCTGCTCCCTGCTTTGTCTCTGGTGAATCCTCTCACTCTCCCGTGCCTCTGGCCTGTACCCCAGTTCTTGTATAAATAAATAAATGTTTAGAAAAAAAAACTTAAAAAAAAAAAAAAAGAAAGCAGTGGTGTCTTTAAGTTGTTAGTTACCTTTTAGGAGGGATTCTGGCTTTTCTAACGATTTTAAAATTACTTAATAGAAACAGACAATGGTTATTTTGACTATACTACTAGCCACAATATGTGTGCCATCCTTTAATTAAGAGATGCCTCTAGTCCTGGGAAGCTTGCATGGCAATCTTTTTGTGTTTGGGTTTGAGGAGAGAGGATTACTGTATTAGGGAAAGATGACACCACTGAGATCTCAGCTGAGAGAATCTTAATTTGATTCAAATGTCTAAGAAGGTTAGTTCAGGCAGAGACCTGGCCACCATCCAACAGCACAGGAACAATCATGAGTCACATACTGAACACTTGGACAAATATGGGCTGGTATCTCTGTGAAAACCAACTCTTGCTGCCTTGAGATTAAAAGGGCTGGCTATTAAACCACTGCTAACAGAGATACTTAGAATAACCAGCAATGCTCCAGTATCAAACATTTCCTAAAGAACAACATTTTCATGTGGAAAGTCACAGAAGTAATGCCTTTTGTTATAAAGCCAACAACTCAGTATTCTTTGTGATTCAGTTGTGAACTAACTGTGTGGATTACAACAGGACTGTTCTCTTAGGACGGACTTAAAGAAATCACTGAGGTTTGATTTTTCATTTTTTTCTTTTATTTATTTATACAAGAACCGGGGTACAGGTCAGATGTGCGGGAGGGTGAGAGGATTCACCAGAGACAGAGCAGGGAACACAACAGGCAGAAGGACCAAAGTACACTGCTGAGGGGAGCAGCAGGCAAGACAAGAGAGGTTTGTGGCGCCATGTGGGACCCTTGCCGGCCAGCCGGGATCGAACCGGTGCTGCAGACACTGCGAACAGCTTCACGGTGTGGTGCTAAAACACCTGCGCAACCGGGGAGGCCCTGATTTTTCATTTTTTCTTACTATATCTTTTCTTACCATAGCATATGAAACAAGTTTTATAAAATCCACATGTGGGGGCCTCCCTGGTGGCTCAAGGGGTTAAGCACTGCACTAAGAAGCACTGCAGCCTCTGCAGCATGAGTTCGATCCCCAACCGGCCAGGGAGCTACCCACATGGCGCAGCAGACCTCTCCTGAGTTGCTCGCTGCTCCCCTCAGCAGTGGATTTCAGTCGATCTGCCTGTTCTGTTCCCTACTCCGTCTCTGGTGGTTCCTCTCATGCCCCCCTTCCCGCCCCGCATCTCTGGCCTGTACCCCAGCTCTTGTATGCATAAATAAATCTTTTAAAAAATAATAAAATAAAATCCACATGTTCAGAAGAATCTCTGAATTTGAACAATGCAGAGCCTTGAAGAGATTATGGGAGTGAACCAGCCCCTCCCCAGACTCCACTAAACTGATTAAATTGTGCCTTGAACTGCTACTTTCTTACACTTCACTGAGATGGACTACCCTCTGCTTGTCAGCATACAAGGTTCTTAACACTGTGTAGCTTTTACTCACACATCTGCATGTAATAGGTGAAACTGTTCCCTCCTCTATTAATTAATTTGGTATTTGTTAGCACTTAATATTAGTTGTCATGTTTCATAAACTGAAATGCAAGTCACACCAGAAATCACATCTGGCCCTCTGGTTTGATCCCAGCTGGCCGGCAAGGGTCCCACATGGCGCCACAAACCTCTCCTGTCTTGCCTGCTGCTCCCCTCAGCAGTGTACTTTGGTCCTTCTGCCTGTTGTGTTCCCTGCTCTGTCTCTGGTGAATCCTCTCACCCTCCCGCACATCTGACCTGTACCCCGGTTCTTGTATAAATAAATAAAAGAAAAAATGAAAAATCAAACCTCAGTGATTTCTTTAAGTCCGTCCTAAGAGAACAGTCCTGTTGTAATCCACACAGTTAGTTCACAACTGAATCACAATTGCACAACTGTGCAATCCCTAGACACTCTGAAGGGAAATGGAGGGGAATCCTGCGGCCAGCCCTGCTGGGTTCTTTTTAAGCCCAGCAAACCTCTGACTTCTTTAAACCCAAGTGAAGAATAAGGTGTCAATATAAAGTTGAAGGAGTGTGTGTCCCTTGTGGGACAAATGTTTGATCCTAGTATGAATAACCCTACTGGAAAAGGATCCTAGTGATCTCCTGGAATGGTACCCAGGGAAAGAATGTATTTTGTGGAGATATAAGAACTCTAAGGGGTGGTTCTAGAACAGGAAGTAGCTGGGTGTGTTTGGCTCTGAGCTGACATTTTGGGTATGAGACCAGGAAGTAACACCAATTTGAAGCCCCTGGGTGTTCTTAGTGCCACATCCCTGATCCTTTCCTAAGTAAGTTGAGGGCTTGCCTGGGAACACCGAGGGGTAGATGACCTTGGTGGGGAGCTGCATCCAAATCCTTTATGAGAGGCCTCTGACTTCCCGTGATTTCCATCCCCACCAAAACTAAGGCACAGGAAACTGACTTGTCATAGGGTCCCTGAGATCTAGGTCCCAAGATAGAGAGGTCTGAATTATAGATTTCATCCAGGGTGAGAGATGGGAAAAGATCTTCCTTAGAGAATTAAGGGTGGAGGGCCAACAGAATCTGTTCTCACTTGACATGCAGTTTGTGCTGAAGAGATGTGACCACTGGAGCAAGGAGAGACATATCCCAAGATGAGGCTGGAAAGCAATGATTCCATTCCATAGCAAGGCGTTTTAAGAACAGACCAAAGGTCTTTGTGAGAAAGCCTGGAATGCCAGTCTCTGACACTCTAGATTGGGCAAAGCCGTAGCCTGTGAAAGGGGGTGGAGAAGCAAGGAGGCAAGGAGAGCTCTCGCACCAAAGATCACACACGGGGCTGAGACGCTATAAATGCAGTGATGCTGGCAGAGAGCTGTGCCTGAGCTCACTCGTCATGAGGGAGCAGCCAGCTGCCATGCAAGACCTGGCTCCCAGGCAGAGTGTGCTAGCTGTTCCTCTGATCTAAAGCCCTGCAGGGAAGCATGCCTACAGAGATAAAATGGAGGGAAAATGTAGAAAACTCATGCTCTAATAAACATCACATGGCTCTCAGAAAGTTTTAGCAATATAAATAGAGTGGGAACTTTCTCAGCCTGGTATGGGCTTTCTTGGACACCAAAGAATTAAAAATACAGACATGTTGTAAATATAATAAATGTAAGCACTTTCAGTAAGTCTAAGTCTGCAGTTTTTTCCCCCAACATCAGTGAATTCTTACTGGAATGAAACTGAAAATATATATTATGCAGATACCATATAAAACATATTGTGACTCTGGTTAAGCCCAACATACTATTTTTTCTTCCTAATCAATACAATATTCACTTCAGAAGTGAAAAAAAAATCTACATACATGTTATAGTCTATGATTATACCTGAGTTCTTCCTAAATACTGATGAATTCGCATTCAAGAAAAACTTGGAGGAATGACAAAAGAAATCTCTCTCCACTTTATCATCTATAAACATAGTTAAGATAGAAAAAGGTTTCTTCTTTATAACTTCCCTGCACGGAAAGCACCAAGAACATGCTCCTTTTGGGACATTCAGGTGTTCTTAGGCTCACATAAGTATAGGGACCCACATGGACATTGGCATGTTCTTTATAAAAGAACAACTAAAAGTAGGTATTTTTTTCCTGAATCTTCTTCCACTAAGGTGGAGGGAAATGCAATTTTACCTTCTATGTTTATAGATGATAAAGCTGAGGGATGTTTCCTCTTTTGTCATTCCTTTGAATTATTCTTGAATGTGAGCTCATCAGTATTTAGGAAAAGCTCAGGTATAACTGATAGCTTTTACATACATATATGTGTATGTCTATATACACACATACAGGTTTAACATGAACTTTTGCCCCAAATCTAAGACGTCTATCTCATTCAATAAAGAGCTTTTGCAAAGAGCACCTTATGGCTCCACTTACCGTCATTCACACAGTTGCAAAATCCACACTGATACCTCCTTCCTCCTTCAATAAATTGCATAAATGGGCACATGTAGGCTTTGCACCTGTTGCATCTGACGGGTCCAGTCTCTCCATGATTTACCAAGTAAAGGGGAGTCTATAAAAGCAAATAAAGACATAGGTGGGTAAAGGGTTTCCAGATATTTCAGAAATCCTATGCAATAACTGTAGCCTGAAAAGTAGTCTAATGGCACTCACTAAGGAACTCTAGGTACTTCACTTGACACTTTGTGAATTCAAGGCAATACCCAAATGAAAATCAATTTTATTATATATCACTTATAAGCATATATGCATATTTACGTATATGTGTGCTGGACATTTACTGAAATGTATGTAGAGAGAGGAGAGAAAATATAAAAATGGTACTAATACCTAATAAAGTTTATACTAAAAATGTCCTGAACATCTTGCATCACATAGTTTGCTAAGTGAGCTCACAAACTATAGATAAGAAGTAAATCAGGTCTGATTTTAACATTCCTAGTTTTCATAGCAGTCTCCTATTTAGACAGCTCCATTAAAGCACATAAAATGTTTCTTCAAAAATGCAACTCTCTTAAGAAACATGTAATAACATTCACTTATTTAGGCAAGAGGGAAGATTGTGTCTTTTCTGATGACAAAATGTTTCACAAAGTACTCTTAATGTAGCTACTCGTTCTTTGCCAGAACTGAAAAAATAAATACGTAATGGTTTCTTCCTCACACACATGTGCACAAACACATCTTTCACAGCTTGAAAATGGAAAAGCTTTAGCACTGTAAGTCTGCCTGTTTCTCAATTTTTCTGGCTTTCAAAATAAAACCACAAAGATTCTTATTATTCCTGTGAATCTCCTTAAAGATAACATTTCTAGAAAAACCCAGTAATTACAAGGCTGGCTTGGCACATCCACCAAGTTTTTCTTTAAAGATAAATTCATAAATAAAGCAGGCTGCTTTTCCATGGAGACCCAAAGAGCTGGCAGAATAAAGCACTGAGTTAAGGTGACAAGGCCATTTTCTGCTCATCTCAGAAAGCTGAGAGTTACTATTTGTCCTGCCCGGATGTTGCAAGTGAAAATGAATTCATTGTTGTGTTCTAAGAGCATGGGGTGGGGGGTGTTATTAAGTGTAAAACAGGAAAGTCTCAGGGAAAGGATAAAAAAATTTCAGAATCCACCTCAACTGACTCCCCATTGCCTTCACCCCCACCTCCTGCTTCAAGAAAGTCAGAAGACGGGTAGGATTTTCTCTTTTTGGTTTCCTCTGCCCCCTAGGACAGGCACAGGTCCGCTGACTGATGGTAGGGCTGTGACAAGGGCTTCATGAGTAGTACTTAAGCAAGATGGACACTGTGCCTGGCACAAAATTACTGGATAACAAGTAACTGTAAGAGTAGATAGAGAACAACCTTTCCTCTCTCAAAATCACTCACCCTGAGAGGTGATAACAGGGTTTAATAACAGGATTACAGATTAATAAGGCTTACACAGGTTTCAATTTCTAATGGTACTTATTTATATGAATATTTAAGGTACCTTACAGGTTGCTCTAAATTATTATTGCCAAAATTATATAAGATCAGGAATCTATCTTAGGAGATTTTCATATAATCAAAAGCTTACCAGAAAAAAGGCACCGTAGATTTTTAAAGCACTCTGAGAATTTGATTTAAATACAAATATACATATTCAAATGTTGACATCTATACATTTCTGCATACAACTTTTTATTTGCAAAGCACAAAGGGACAAATGTTTGTCACCTCTCTCCAGTAATATGGAATAGTCTGAGAGGATCAACTAGGTGAGGAACTACAGAGATCCTTAGGACAAAGAATGAAAAACTAGAGTAAGAACTGAAAGTAAAAATGTACAGTAACACAGGTTTTCCTGGATCAAAAATCTAATGTATCAATCATGCCTTTGGTCACTGTCCTGTTCTGCAGCTTTCTCTGGTATCGGGGGATGTTCTTAAGAGTCAAATAAGAAAAAAGTCTTGAGTTTGCATTTACTCAGTCATATTTATGTTTCTCAATCTTTTATCTTCAAGGAGATCAAAGGTTACAATCAATTGCCTGAGAGACTTTGAAAATAAAATATGATACAGTTATCTGCTGATCAAGGCCAAAGCAATGGAGGGCAAAGAACCTTATTTTTATTGATATGATCTACTCAAAGGCAGGCTCAGTCTAAAATGACAATGAACTTGTCAGCAACTTACACCTAAGCATTCCAGTCAAGACAGATTCAAACTTGCCAAACTGAAAATGAATGTCTAGTAATAAAGTGGAAACAAGTAATTACTATATCTTGGCTGTTAAATACACTTAAATTTTTTTCTACTTTCATGCTTTTGGAATCTGGATGACAGCTAGATAAATAAGGTATTCAGACAATTGAGGTGACAGGAAAGAATGTTAAAAGCTTTTTAACTGTTTACTTTTTCTGTTTGGGAAACAGGACAAGGGTTTCTAAATTACGCTGTTCTGTTTCATCTGGCAGGCTACACTGAAAACCATCAGAGACTTTGCTTTGCTCCAGATGCCCTCATATCTACTCTACAGTAGGGAGTATGAGCTCATAAATGGCTAATCTCACTTTTCTTGAGTTCAACTTCAGTGTATAAAGCTTGTGTGAAAAAGTTCACTTTTCAAAAAGTTCTCTAAGTTGATTCCGCCACCTTACCAGGAACATTATATCAAATTTCCTTCAGGAATAGTTCCAGATTTTGTAATTTTGCTTATAAATGTACTTTAATCATTTGGTCTCTGCTATATTGCAGCCTCTTCTTTCCTTTCCGTTCTCTTAAATGGAAAAAGCAAAAGAATAAGACAGAGTAGGTGCAGGGTCATTGTGTGTTCAGTCAGACAGAAAGATCCCACACTAACAAGCAAACATTAAAAGAGCAAGGAAGGAGTACAGAGAATACTCAGGAAAGCATCATTAATAAAATGCCTATTTAATTTGACCTTAATAGACACCTCTTCAATGAAGACATTCAGATGGCTTACAGGAACATGAAAAAATGCTCCATAGCACTTATCATCAGGGAAATGCAAATCAAAGTCACAGATGAGAGGATGAGCCTTCACCTCCCTCCTGTGAGAATGACCCAAATCAAAAAGGCTGGAAACAATAATTGTTGGCAAAGGTGTGGAGGAAGAGGAACCCTCACCCATGTGGAAGGGAATGCTATTGGGTGCAACATCTATGGGAAAAGGCATGGAGGGTCCTAAAAAAATAAAAAGGAAATACCATATGACCCAGCTTTACCACTGCTGGTATTTAACTGAAGGTAGGTATTTACCTGAAGAATATGAAAATACTAACATGACAAGATGCCTGTACCCTTGTGTGCCTGGCAGCATTGCTCAGAGTAGCCAGGACAGTGAGTCAACCTAAACGTCCATCAACAGATTACTGGACAAAAATATTGTGGAACAGGGCCTCCCTGGTGGTGCAGGCGGTTGAGTGCCACACTGTGAAGCTGTCTGCAGCCTCTGCAGCATGCGTTCGATCCCGGCTTGCCAGCGAGAATCCCACAGGGTGAAGCAGACCTCTCCTGTCTCACCAGCTGCTCCACTCAGCTGTGTATTTCTTCAGACTGCCTGTTCTGCTCCCCTCTGTCTCTGGTGAATCCTCTCACTCTCCTGCACATCTGGCCTGTACCCTGGTTCTTGCATAAACATAAATAAATCTTTTAAAAACTGTTGTGGAATATATACCCAATGCAATACTACTCAACTACTGAAAAAAATTAAATTAGTAACTTTTGGAACAGAGTTGGTTCTTTAGACCAACAAAGATGGGTCTTGAGGTGAGCATGTGAGTTGAAATAAGTCAAAAATGAAAGGCAGTTACGGGATGATCTCGCTCATTTTGCAGAACATAAATAACCAAAGAAAAGCAACTGGTAAAACAACAAGAATAATTCTTAGACTCTATAAAAAATATATGGGTTTCCAGAAGGAATGGAGGTGGGTAAGGGAGAAGAGAACAGGGGAGGGAAAGTAACAGGATCGTGGCATAAAGCTTTGGTGGAGGGAGAGCGAGGCATGTTCATATGTGGGGTGTTAAGTTGTATTCCCCAAATTACAATGATGTGAACTAGTGGAAAATCAGTAAAAATTTTAAACAGAATATAAAAAATTTAAAGTTCTTTTTAGCTTAAAAGACAAAGTTAATCTACTTACAGATTGCATTTCAAAAAAAAAAAATTAAAAATAAATGTGCCAAGAAAACAAAGCACATGCAAAGAAAGAAATCCACATGGAAAATCTTATCCAGCTTATAGTCTATGTATTATTAATATGGCATTAGAAAAATAAATAGTCTGAATACAGAAATTTTGCTGTATAATTTCTGCTTTAGAAAAGTGATGGATGACAGAGAGCGAGCTTAGTGTGGATCCAGTAGGTGGCACTGTGCAACTAAAAAATAAAACAAGGCTATAGCATAATTCCTCACTTAACTTTGTGGGTAGGTTCTTGGAAACTGTGACTTTAGGCAAACTGACTTACAATAAAACCAGGTCTTGGAATAACATGAATTTACTCAATGTCAACTGGGATTTCTTTTCTCAACATTATAATGAATTGACATTGAGTGAAATGACGTTATTCAAGGTCTGCAATTTCCTCAGCTGGTACTAAAATATTCAAGAGAATTAAGCTACATTCATTTTAAGTAACTCTGATACTGACATCAGCTGCTACCACCACAAAATTTAAAAACCCTCCTTTCCTGAAAGAAACTTTTCATATTGGTTAAAAAAGTATTCTGGGTAAAACACAGAGATTAAACAACATAAAAATACAGGCTATTTCAAGCATGCACTGTATAGAAATGACAGGATGTATCAAATGTATTACCTAGCCCAGAAAAACTCATTTTAAAAGTTTCTAATCCTCCACCAATTTTTCCAAGTATATGTAAGGAAACTGAAGTCTTGCTGGGCTAGCAATCCCTGAGTGCAGCAGGAACCTTAGAGACCTGGGAAGCCAGGGGGCTCTGGAAGCTATGGCTCCTGCTGCCCCTTCCACCACCTGTTCTCCAAACTGGAAGTCCAGGTGCAAAGCAGCACAGCAGCTCCAGGTGGAGCTTGGCCTTG